GTAAGTGAAGTCGCGTTGGTGTGCGTGGGGCGCTGTTCTGCTCTAAGGTAAGGCAGAGAATGTTCTGTGGATGGATAGTGTAAAGGTACAGGAATTGCGAAAGAGAGGCCGGCCTGTGAGGATTTTTCCAATCCGCACTGTTGCCAGGTTTCAAGGTTTGGTGTTGATCCGGTCCGAGCGATGCGGGCCAGTCAGAGGCCGAGGAGGAGAGCTTGCGTGCACGAAGTACCAGGTACCTTGGCGGCAGCAGTACTCTAAAGGGCAAAGAGGCAGCAAAAGGGCAGCAAAAAGGGCACAGCAAGGGCGGGCAGGCAGCGGTACCTCTCCAGGATGGCTGGGGTCGTAGCTGGGTAACCTCTACCTGGGTCGAGTGAGGGATAGGCTCGGTTGCTGGAGACAAGCACTAGCGCTGCTGCTAACTTGAGTTGCGGACACCTTGACGTTGGTCGTGCTGAGGCAGCATGTCACCGGCATGTCGCTGTTGCTCGGAGCAGCTGTGCCTCTTCGCCTCTTCTTTTTCTTCCTTTTTTCTAGGCAATTCTTTCCTGCCCCTTTGCTTTACGGGATCCGAGCATTTCTTGATTTGTCTCGACAGGGTTTGGCCGCGGCCATTACGTACTGTACAGGGAGGGACCTGTCAGCTGTCTGTCTGATGTACTGCGCCGCCGATGCTGGAGCTGGAGTACATACAAGACTTCGTACGAGAGGGCGACAACAATCATTCCATATTTTCCAGAAATAACCCATCCCAGGGGTTCGTTTATAATCATGTACCTGTAGTACATATACACGAGCTAGGGGATGGAATTGTATCCTGGTCACGCCATACATCACGTCTCTGTGTACTGATACTTGTTGGCACTCGTCCTCTCACATCGACCTCTCGTTGCTTTTCCTGGAGATGCGCGCATATCCAAAGTGGGTAAGGAAGCAGCCTGCATTCTTAGCACTGCGGCCAGCTCTATTTCACACCTACAGGAGAGGAGAGGAGCCCCTGGATTGCGCGTCTCGCTCAGGGGAAAATCACTGGAGATTAACCAATCGAACATCTCTCCCTGCATTGTCAGGCAGATGCTGAGCAACATATCCAAGTCTCTCATTAGCAACATGACTATTCCCTCCCGTTTCGAAGCATCGTCCACTGTCTTAGCAGTGTCCTAGCAAAGCTAACCTGTATGCTCGAAATCCGCTGCACTGGCTAGTCCGACCCCGTTTCCGCTCACGAAACGAACAGGGGTCCAGCCATATCTCCGAATGCTTGGCACTCCAAGCTTTTGAAGCTGCCGGAAGCCGTTCCAGCGCACGTGACTGGCAGCACATGCTACGGTCCAGAATCCCCAAGATGCAGCCCGTCGGCCCTCACATGTCTGGCCCGTCTCGCGGCATGCAAGGAGAACTCGCCGCTATGGCCAATGATGTGTGCATTTCGCGATTCCAGTGAGGTAATGTGTGCTGGGAAGCGTCGGGCTGCCGCGAGTGCAGCTGCTGCGCTCGTACCCAAGTACTCCGTACGGACACCGAGAACTCAATACAACAACTGCACTGTCATAAGTACAGGGACTTCGTATCGAACTGGCGCTGAACATATTCCGTACTCAGTACTTTTAAATGCAGTAGTTTGTGCGCTGGAAGCGGGCCTCATCTTGTACTGAGTACTTTGTCTCCGGCATCCGATAAGCCGCACCAAGGCGCGGAACATGCCACTGCGTTTCTGACGTTCTGAGCCTCAAACCCTGTCTTTCCGTCGCCCCACGTCGCGCGATAGCCATCCATCCCCAACATCTGGAATCGTTTCTTCTTACTCGCCCAGAGCTGCTGCAACCTGCGCGTGGGGTGCGATTTTGTCGACATTTTGGACGCTTTTTGCCAGCTTCGAGACACGGCTTGATCCTTGTTCACTCTTTTCGACTTCGGTTGCCTGGCGCGCTCTTGCAAGCGATGGACAACGGCAACGCCGCCACGACGCCCGACGAGGCGGAGAAGCAGCAGGTGCTTGACGAGCTCAAGGCCATCGATGTGGCGATGCAGCGGCTCAAGCTGCTGCACATCAAGGCACGCCGATACTGAACCACCTCTGCGCATCGTGTCTGTCTAAGCGAGACTAACCGGGGACGGCCCCTGAATGCAGGAGCGCAAGCTAAAGGGCCTCATCCCTACGATGCTGGAACCTCTGGTGCAGAAACACCGATCGCGTAAGAAGCTCACCCTCGTCGTTCGCATGGTCGCCTCGTAGTGGCTAACACCCGTTCCAGCAGAGGCATTGTATGCCGCCTTCATGAAGTCGGTGGCCGACGCGCAGGCAAAGATATCCGATTTCAGAGAACTTATGACGGACGAGACGAGCACCGAAGCCTTTGCGCGCGCTACCAAGAGCAGGGAGGAGAGGCCTGATGGCATCGCGCCATGGAGATACGACAACTATCCAGAATGGTTCAATGCTGATAAGCACTGGACTAAGTGAAAGTCATATTGGTGCGATTCTGTTTACGAGCTTTTCGATCCTTCTTCTTCTCTTTATGATGGGCAATCTGGCGGAATGGTTTAATGGAGTCAAGGCGCTGAGGCTGCAGAGTACCGCGTTCCTTTATCGGCGCTACATACCCGGATAATGTATTTTGGTGGGCGTTGGGGACTACACGGTTGATCTGGGGTTTTAGGTATTGGTTATTCACAATCAGAGATGCACTTGGATGCGGCCAATGTTGCCGCAAGCTTTGAAGTGATCGCCGAGATTATGTGGTAAACGAGGTACGCTTCTACTATCAGTTGGAAAGGAGGTCAAAGAAAGAACAGCCTACATCTACACAATAACCACGGTTCCGGATCACGCGCAACAACATTCAAGGAGCCCAATGTTGCTACACCAGGTTATGGAACTCATATGGTGCAATGGTCATACTAGACGTGGCATAGAACCACAGGAAGTAGGGGCTTTGTAAGAGGGCATACGATATCAGATTCACAGTGATCGATTCACTGGCACTCGCATCGTAGGAGACAAAAGCAAACCCTCAGTTTACTAGTGTACGGCCACGCGTGACCTACCCTTGAGATCTTTGGGAAGGCAAAATAGAGCAATGACCCATTCCTTTTACAAGTGCCTAATTGCAACACATTTGCTGCGCAGCGTCGCGTCATGAAGCAGCTCGGTCTCCAAGTTGTTTGTCACTTCATGACTAGCGCCGACCCAGACTTGCTTACGGCAGCAATTCCAGGTCATCACCAAAAGCGAAGCCCGTCATCACGTGCACCAACTGTGGGCCAATTACGGCACTCCACTCGTCCTCTGATTCGTCGGCTTAGCGGGCACAATCTGTCGTCCCGCCCACACAATTTTTCCCCAAATCTCGAAATTCCTCTTCTTTTGGTGAGATACTCAGAACAACCACAGAGCATCACCAGCAACAATGGCCTCCCACCGAGTCACCTACCGCCGCCGTAACGGGTGAGTTATTCTTGCCGTCGACGTCGAAGATACGAAATCAAATATTCTCGTCGATCCGTCGATGTGCTCCCTTCCGGCGTGGGCTGTCTTGCGACAATAGTACTGACGAGGCGCAATTTGCTACAGCTACAACACTCGCTCCAACCGGACCCGAGTCATCAAGACTCCCGGCGGCGACATCCGCCTTCTGCACATCAAGAAGCGCGGCACTGCCCCCAAGTGCGGTGACTGCGGCGCCAAGCTCCCTGGTGTAAGTTGGGCCCTTGAAACGAAGTTTTGCTATCCAGAGGACGAGCGGTCGAGGGAGGGAAGAGGGACACGGACGAAGAAGACGATGGAGTTGGGAATATCGGCTGGAATTATCAAGTCTTGTCGGCATGGAAGGACGCTGCCGTTTGAAAACCTTGCAAAAACTACGAAACGCCGTCTACACCCGTCTCGACAAACTCTTCTCTCGCCTTTCCGTCGACCTGGATAACATTCTGGACAGCTACGGGAAATCAGAAACTGACAAGCATCGACTTCTAGGTCCCCGCTCTCCGCCCCCGCGAGTACTCCCAGATCTCCAAGCCCCAGAAGACCGTCCAGCGCGCCTACGGTGGTTCCCGATGCGGTGGCTGCGTCCGTGACCGGATTGTCCGCGCCTTCCTGATTGAGGAGCAGAAGATTGTCAAGAAGGTTATGAAGGAGCAGGAGGCGAGCCAGAAGAAGAAATAAACAACCATATTTTTCCCACTAGACAAAAAATATTTCGACTGATGGACTTGGCTTTCTGTGCGGGATGGCAAGGAACTCTTGGGGGATTGGTTCATTGCTTTGGTGTTCATTAGGGCAAAAACGGACTGCATGATACATTATGGCCGAGCCGACCGATGGCCGGTCTGCTGCTGTCTTTAGGACTGCTTCCTCTTGGTGATCTAATGGAACGAACATCAAGTTGGTACGGAATTGCCCCTGTTGCAGATGTGAAGTCCGTGTGCGAGTTGGCGGGCAGTGTATGGCGTGAAGTGGTCAGTTGTGTACAGCCAAGATAGCAAATTCCTCCTTGAAGAAGTCAATTTGATGAAATCTTACCAAAATATATAAACCCGTAAAGTGCATGATTAGAACCAGGCGACTCTGGCGTAAGGCACCTATTTCGCAATGCGAGTATCATCTCAAACCCAGGTTCCTCACTGTAAGCCACCATGACGTTTACACATGCAAGATATCACAATCCGCCCCGCGACAACAAAAAAAAATCCAAACTTGACACCACACTTTTTCACGACCGAACCTCGCCAATCGACAGATGCCTACCACGCCTTGAACATAGAATAACTCTTCACATCAGATTCACGATGCGCGGTACATTACGACTATCAACTGGCCTTCGAGCCGCCCGCGCAAGCATGTGCAATCCATCAAGATCCATCTGCCCGCGAACATCAGCCTCACCAGCACCAGCCGTCCGGCTCCAACGCAGCCTCCCCTACAGACCCTTTCACACGACCCCCTGCAGCCTCTCCAAAAGCCGCGGAGATGACATGCCGCCCGACAATTCGCACCGCACGAGCTTCAGCGAGCTGGACGTGCTGGGCAGCGTGCCGGTGCCGTCGACGTCGGTGGACGTGTGCATGCACGACGGCTTCGGGCTGAACAGCGGCATCACGATACAAGGGGACGGGGCACTGCTGGTGCATGGGGAGGCGTTTGCGTGGCGGCCGTGGGAGGCAAGTGGGAAGAAGAGGCTTGTCAACGACAAGGGGCAGTTTGAGCTCCCGGAGGAGGCGTTTGGGCTGTTTGACGTGCTGTGGCCGCGACCTGGTATGTCCCTTTTTGCTGTGTTCATGGCAAACTTTTCTTTTCATTGCTTTCTCCTCTTGTTCCCTGAAAGAATAGGCAGGGGGGGCAATGGTTCACTCAAGGCGTGAAGCTGACGGTTTGTGTGTACACGTTTACAGATTTGTTGATTATTGGCGTGGGGAAGCACAACCTGCCGCTGAGTCCGCGGACGAGAGAGCACGTTTCACGGCTGGGGATGAGGGTCGAGATGCTGGACACGCGGAACGCGGCGGCGCAGTTCAATCTGCTGGCGACGGAGCGAGGAGTGTCGGAGGTTGCGGCGGCGTTGATACCCATTGGCTGGGAGGAGGGATTGGGCGTGGTTTCATGATGTTGTACGGGGGGTTGTGGACGGTTGTACGATGGTGATAGGGCCGGGGAAGGCTGTGGCATAGACGTTGGGCGCCTTTGAAGATATCCTATGTTGTACTATTACAGTGTGGAAGGGGGCTCTTGTGTTGGCTTGGGGTAATATGAGTATATCCAATTCAGGGTCAGCGTACAATATCTGTGGGAGGAGTGGAGAGACTCGATTTACATACTTCACAAGATGAAAGGGTGAAAGTCATCACAAGATTGTATACTGTATCAATGTATCGGCAGAATAGTCCTCGGCTTGAAGGTGTTCAGGTTTGGCCCAATGAGCCAAGTTGCAAGCATATGGTGACACGCAGCCGATGCTCCTTCAATGACTGCCATTAGCCCTTCCAAGAGTGCGTCATTACATTCTTCATCTTTTAGATTGCCACTGAATCCTACAATCGAAATGCGCCTTCAATTACCAATTCTTTCGCAGACATTTTCGGTGGCCAACCCTACCAGCACCGCAGCTCTAGGGTAAGTTCACGACGCATTCTGGTGGCTTGTTGCAAATTGCACATTAGCAGGGCCTCATTCGCGCAATGACAAGCTCTCTCGGGAGCCCGTGTCAATTGGTTGGTCACTAACGAATCGCTCATCCCGTCCGCCTCATTTATTCTCAATTCACCGTTGATCGGTTCTAGTAACTTGTGTGGCAGTAGTTGGCTCTGCCTTCTTCCATGCAATGCAATGAGTTCTGTCCAGCTTCCGAGTTGCCAATCAATTGCAGGGCGACGTCAATCTTTTCCTTTGTTTACTTCCAGGTTTCTGACTCACCTGACGGATACCGGCCTGAGAGGGGAGAAAAGCCAAAGCCAACCGCTAATAGTTTTTTTTTTTCCTTGCTTGCTTCTCTTAATCTTATCTACACGTCATTTTCCCTCCTGCTGGCGATTTCTCAATCCTTTTCTCTTCCTTTATCCCCGCCATTTTTCATTGAAAGTTTTAGGAGGAATTGGGCGAAAGTCCAGTGTGCCGGTTGAGCGGGAGCGTGTGTTTCGTGCGATCCATTTCAAGGAGCCATTGCTTGCCGTTATAGGCGGACCCTTGCTGCCGAACCGTCTTGGAAGAGACTCGACGGTTTCTGTCATTTGCTTTATCGGCTGCGTATCGCGATATAAGAGGCGGAGCGCGGTTCCAGCATTGAACCTGATTGCGAGAACCATTGGCCTTGGAATTCTCATCACCAGACGCTACAACCCCGTCAGGACGTCGAATACCAGGATTTGCTCGAGGATTGGAAGAAGAGCATTGGTGTCGCCACCGCAAATCGAGGAACCGAATCAGACTGCTGGTCATGCCAATGGCAAAGGCATCGCCAGACTCTCCGCCGCCGGAGCAGTCGCTCTCCACGGACCCTCACGAGACAGATCCCGCGCTCCTCCAGCAGCACTCGCACTTCAAGTCCTACAGGACGAGCCGCTTCGAGTATCCCGAGATCCGCGTCTTCTTCCGCCAGCATGTCAAGGCCGACCAGCTGCCCAAGAAGCCGGCGCCGCTGCCCCTGCTGGTGTGCATCCCGGGCCTGGGGGGCTCCGTCGCGCAGTTTCACCCGCTGTTGAGGAGCTTGATCGATTTGGCGCCGTGTCTGGCAATCGATTGGCCCGGTGGCGGGAGGTCCAAATTTGCGCCTAAACAGTGGGAGGCGTACACTTCGGAGGCGCTGATGGAGCTGCTGGAGGTGATCATCGAGGACTATCGCGACAGGAAGCATGACCAGGGCGTGGTGTTGATTGGGCACAGCATGGGAACCGCGCTGTCGGCTGGCTTGGCGGACAAGAAGCTTCCGCACAAGACATCTCTCGCACAGCACGTTGTTGGCCTGGTGGCGATCTGTCCTGTATCCGGACCGATGGAGGAAGCAAAAGCGAAGCTCATCAAGAAGTTGTTCTGGATCCCCGGCTGGGTCTTTGCCCTGTGGCGTGCGTGGGATGGCCGAGGAGGGCTCAACAGCACCAGCGTCTCGCGATTTGTGGGAGAGGGGGCGCCTACTGAGCTGAGGCTCATGCAGTATCGCTTTAACAAGCAGAGTCGCACGCCGGTCTGGAGGCGAATGGCGTACGGCGCCTTGCCAACCGAGTACCGGGATGGGAAGCCTGTGGGTGGCATTCCGGGACTGGATTCGTGGGCGAGTTTGGATATCCCGGTCTATCTCATTGCAGGCGAAAAGGACAATGTGACACCGCCGAAGGAGGTCGACAAGATTGTAGCCGCCTTTCACGCAGCGGATAAGGCTGCAGCAGTTTCAGGCGGAACCGAGCAAGCGCTGGACGCAACGGAGTCTGTCAACGGCTCGACACAGCTTGACGTCGATACGAACGGCAACGGCTTGAAGGCAGAATTTGCCGAAGACGGCGACAGCGATGCAAACGGCCCGTCAACGCCCGTCGAGGACTCTCCAGATTTACCGCCTCAGCCGCAGCACCCTCCGCGAGCCATACGATCCATGATCCTCACCGGCTCGGCGAACCACACCCTCCTCTACTCTCCGCTCACCGTCCGAGCCCTCGCCGGCCTCGTATCGGACTTCCTCGCCGAGCACATCACGCGGCGCCTCTCCCTCGCCTGGCAGCTGCAGCACCTCTCGCGCGAGGGCAAGTGGGACGTCAAGAACCTCATCAAGTGGCAGTCGGTGAAGCCCGTGTCGGAGCCCATCGGCCCCAGCGGCAAGCCCGTCTTCCGCGTCATCAAGACGCTCCGCGAGGCCGACGACGTGCACTGCCCGGCCGCCTTCGCCGACGCCTGGGGCCACGTCATCAAGGACGTCGTCGACATCTCCAAGGACCAGCCCGTGTACGACCCGCGCGGCCTCGAGCGCCGCGGCATCCACTACCACAAGTTCCCGACCGTGTCCAAGGTCCCGCCCGACGGCGAGACGGTCGACCAGTTCATCCGGCTCATCGACTCCATCCGCGAGGCCCAGCGGGAGAGGGCCGTGGCGGAGAAGTGGGCGGACCCGGAGCAGTGCGTCGTCGGCGTGCACTGCCACTACGGGTATAACCGGTCGGGGTACTTTGTCGTGTGCTACCTCGTCGAGAGGTGTGGCTTTGCGCTGGCGGACGCGATCGAGGCGTTTAAGACGGCGAGGCCGAATGGGATTCGGCATTCGCACTTTTTGGACAAGTTGTATATGCGGTATAACCTCGAGGAGAGGGCTTGATGAGAGGGCTGAGATCCTTGTTGTTACTTTTTCTTTGGTGTTTTTTGCTACGTTATATGCGTTTGTGGCTTTGAACTCTAGGGAGATATTTGGTACTGGTTGGGATGGAATAGATGGAATGGACTGGATCTGGGCATGGCCAAAGCAGGAAGTAAATGGTCAATGGGAATAACGGCGTCTAGCATTGATATCCTTGTGTATTGTGCATTTATATAGCCGCTATCTGAATCGAATTTCTGTCTCGACTTCAATGGATGTAAAGAAAAAAGCCGTAAACATCAAATCTCATTGCTAGGTATACGCTTAAACAATCTAAACATCTGTATCTGGGACTCACCTGCCGTATAAGTAGAGACGAGGTGGATATTCCAAAAGATCTAACAACCCAACTCGCGCCATGCAAACCAAAACCAGAGAAGCTATTCTAAACTCTTACCAACAGCTCTCTCTAAATCTTTCTCTAAATCTCATGCGCGTGATAAGGCTCTACAACGCTCTTCTGCTCAAGGGCCATCTTCTTCGCGCCCTCGCCAGGCTTCTCCGTCTTCTCCCTCAGTTCCTTCGTAATCTCCTCCACCTGCTCGCCCACATCAAGGTAGTGCCGCAAGAACTTGCCGACATCCGTGTTCTCGACGTTGCCGCGGATCGCCTGCGTGCCGGGCCCGCCAGACGAGTAGATGTTGACGTCGACGGCGGTGTGCCCGTGGGTGCTCCAGCCGACGTGCGCGCGCAGGGAAATCATGGCGGAGAAGATCTCGAGCGAAGCCTCGGCGTTGTCCGCCAGGGCCTCGAGCTCCTCGTCGAAGGCGTTGGAGATGCCGAGGCCGGGCACGACGAGTTCCTTGTTGATCCACTTCTTGAGGTCTGCCTTGGCCTTCCTCTTGTCCTTGGAGTTGGAGTAACCGATGGACGCGGCATGCGAGCGGAGCTTCGCGGCGAGGTGCTCGGTAGACGAGGAGGCCTTGGCCAGGGCGCGAGGGTACCAGTTGTACACTGGCAAATGGCCGGGCTCCTGGATGGCAGTGGCGAGACCGCCGGTCTCGTGGTCGCTGGTGGCTACGAGCACGGTCTCAGTCTCGCTGCTGGCGATGAAGTCGAGGACGGCCTTGAACGTCTTGTCGTATTCCAGCACCTCGCGGACCTGGGCAGCAGGGTCGTTGAAGTGGCCGGCATGGTCAATGCGGCTGCCCTCAATCATGAGGAAGAAGCCCTTGTCCGTGTCCTTGGTCGCCTTTTCGAGAGCTCGTAGGGCCGTGGTAGCCATCTCGCTCAGGCTGGGGTAAACATCGTTCTGCTTCTGTCTATCGATCTCAAAAGGCACGTCCCTCTCGGCAAAGAGACCGAGAAAAGGAAGCTTGACCTTGTTGCCGCCGTCAAGAGCGTCAAAGCCATGGCGGTTATCGGTGTAGCCCCAGCCGTGCTTCTCCTGGGCCAGTCGCGTAACGTCCACCTCATCCGCACGGCATCCACCCTCGGTGGAGTTGGGCAGGAAGTGGCAGCGGCCTCCGCCGAGCATGAGGTCGACGGAACGGCCCAAGACACCCTCGCCAATCTCTTGCAGAGCAATCGAGTCCTGCATCTCTCGCCTCAGGACGTGGCTGACGAAGGTCGCGGGCGTGGCATCGGTGATATCGGTGGTAACAACCAACCCCGTGGTATACCCAACTCTCTTGGCAGCCTCCATGACGGATCCGCATGGCTCAAAGTCCGGCAGGATGGAGATGGCGCCGTTGTAGCTCTTGAGACCGCAGGAGAAGGCAGTGGCGCCGGCAGCGCTGTCGGTGACTAGGGAGTTGCTGGAGCGGGTGCGGCTGGTGCCCCAGAAGTGCTGGTCCAGGACGAGCGTGTCGTTCTCGGGCAGGTCGTTGATGAACTGGCGGTAGCTGCGCGTCAGGGAGAGCGAGGCCGGCCCCATGCCGTCGGACACCATGAAGACGAGGTTCCGCTTCGCGGCGACCTTGTCGTCGCTGCCGCGGCCGGTTTGCGCATCGTGCTGGATCCAGACGGCAGCGACAATGAAGGCGGCTGTTGCGAGGAGGCCCCAGGCAAAGAAGGCAATCTCGCGGATGCGTGAAGAGCGCAGGGCCGCCTTTTGCTGGGCGATCTCGGCGGACTCGCCGCGGTTGGATAGGAGAGGATGACGCTCGGACGGCTGGTTGGCTGGGAGTCAGTTGCTGTACAGATGGCATAGCAGCAGGCAGAGCAATGGGTTTCCGAGAAATGAAGAGGACTCACCATTCTGACCAGTCTGAGGGCTTCAGCACCGATCTGTTTGCTCAGGAGAAGTGCTGGTTGATGCAATCTCCAGGTTGTGAGCCTTGGAGTCTGGCGGAGGACGCAGGAGAACCTTCCATGAGCCGCCTGGTAGGGATGGAATGCGTCACAGGCGACCGTTATAGCGGGTTGCTAGCGGCGAGAGCCCTGTAGGTTGCAGCTAAGCCCTTGCACGGGTGCGGGTGGGGCGCTGTGGCGCTGGGCCCAAGGCAGCTGGAGGTCGCGTGCCGGCATCGAGGCCATTCCCAGCATCTCTGCTCCAACGATGGACCAGCCCGTGACGTGGGCGATGACCGATCACGCCGATCAGCGCAATGACACGCCCCGGATAGACGAGAGACGAGACGAGATGCAACCAGATGCAATGACCAACGGTCTGGACAGCCACAGCCAACCGGACTAGACGTGAGAATCTGTGCGATGGCATCAGTGAACACAGCAACGCAGCGGGTCTCTCTGCAGCCATGCCATGTAGGCACTTCCGACGATGATTCACGGCACAAATCCAAATGGGACAGAGTTCATTGGCTGTCGACCATTACCTAAGTCGTGAACCCCTTCCAACCGTCCGCGGGTTCTGACTTGTGTCTCTCCCAGCTGCTCCTCATTGGCGCGGCATCTGCAATCCGGGGCTGGTGGATATCGATGCGACGTCAAGCCGATGGTGGCCGGAGACAAATGCCGGCATCGACTCTGATTCACTGTCGGAGGATTACCATCTCGACATGCAAGGCACTACACCGTACGAGCACTGGCTGCCACCTGTGTGTAGTGCCACATAGCAACGCAGCATCTGGGTTCAGATCGTGGGAGGGGGCCTCGATGTTTCTTTTCCTCATTGCCTGGATGCTTGCTTCGCTGCCCTGAATTGGCGACACAGACAACAGCTGGCGATTGCTCAGTTGGCCACCGCCGTCCAGCTCATGGCGGACGCGCAAACGAGGATGCGATGAGGCTGACTTCCATCCATCCAGGTCTTGCAACTGGCCAGGCAGACGTGCATCGCTGGTTACATGAAGCCTGGCCGCACAGTCCAAATTCCCCGCTGCCTCGCCTCAGCGCAACCAGGTGGTGCAAACATGCTATCAAGGGCTTGTACACGATGCCATGGCGCCCTGTGCGGCGTCCTGCGGGAAGGAAAACGACAAAACAAGCCGCGTGTGACAGCCTGTGGGAAGGGAGGCGTGCTGTCAACGGCCAGATCTGGCCTGGGATAGGTTCCTTTACGAGCGAATGCCACGCCAGGGCTTTCATTGAATCACTGCCAGCTGCGTCTGTAGCCACCACACGTTATCACAAGCCGCTGATAACAGACCGTTCACGTCAACACGTTGTGCCATCCTCTGTCTCTTTCCTCCCCCTTCACCTCACCAGATTGGATACTCTTGGCTCAAGCATGGCTGGACAAGACACACATGACCTGCAAACCCCGATGGCGAGTGGGTTGTTCTTTGTCCCTATATCAGCGGCAAGCTAGGACTGAAGGCACCTTTGAACCTCTTCACGCTGCGTCGAAGCCAACGGACAGCAAATGCTTGCAAACCACTCAACTGCACTGCTTAACCACAGCCTATAAAAACCAGAGATGAATGCCGTTCGAAAAAGGCAACGAAAGGCGTCGTTTCAGACTCATCATTCACACAATGTGCACTTATACCGACGTCTTATACCTCTGCGGATGCTGTGGGCCCCCGGTTTGCGACACGTCCTGCTCGGAGATCATGTCGGAGCTGGACCGAATCAACCATCCAGAAGCTTGGGAGGGTGAAGGCCTCACCCAGCTGCCTTTCAACATGGCGGACGAGTGTGTGCCGAATTGGCACAACGTGGTTTTGGTCCCGGAAGTGGCCTTTTGCGACCATTCTCTGGGAGACGGCTGTCTGCTTGAGCGAAGAGTCCCCGAGTGGCTTGCATCGGTTGCCTGGCCAGAGCAAACTCTTTTCTACAATGTTCAAGGGCAAGAGTATGACGTTGGCTGGCCAGGTTTTGACGTCGCAGGGCCAGAGGACAACGCTGTGTGGCTGGGAACCAATTTCACGTTGCCAGAAGACAGCTCTACGTTTCTAGAATATGTCCCTGGATGGCTGGGGTACGATCCTGAAAGGACATATGATCCGACACACGACTAGAAGAGCAATGAAGAACGCAAAACAAACAAACCAAGGGGATAAGAAGAAGCGAAACCGACAAATGGGTATCGTCGGAGGAGCTACTCTCTGGAAACTCCCCGTCAACTCGCCTCATGCGGATAGATTGATCTTTCGGCGATGCCTTGAAGAGCTGCCGAACACAGCAACGCTGCTCCACAAGTTTCCAATTCTATCAGGCGTTGATGCAAATCCTACCCTCAAAACCCCCTGAGATGGCGACTCCTTTGGGCCAGCGAAAGGCAGCTCACCCGTTTCAGCTTCACATCAACAAGCTCAACGAGCCAATTCGGCAATTGATCCGCGGCCACTTCATGCTCCAGGGCGAGATAAATTCCCAATTTCAACGACGTCATGCTGGACTTTGATTCGAAGAGACAGTCGCTTTCCCGCGATATGCAAAGCACCGACGTTGATGTGATTCGATGCGGCGGGTTACTGACTTGGCCAATTGCTGAGCAGAGACGAGGCGGAAACGCTCAACTGGCGCATATGCAAGCCATCGGAATTCGCAACACTTTCTTTCACGTCTCGACTAGTATGCTTGTCTTTAAAGCCACAGCAGCCCCTTTGTTCAACCCAGATTCACGCAGCGAGCTGAGCCGGACCTGTCAAAGAACAACGCTGTCGAAGCCTCAGCGGCTAATCGCGATGTGGCTGCATCTGGTGTTTCTGCAGCTGGGCGCTAACGCTCCAGCGACCGTTCAGTGGCCAACCAGCCGCTACGCCCGGCTGGCTCCGGATTTACAGGCGATTCTCCTCCTCAGGACCCCTGACGGCTCCAAACAACCTAAAACGCCGAAACAAGCTTGAACCCCCCGTGTCGTCTCACGTCTGTCTAATGGCGGCGCTGAAACGACTCGCGTTGGACAAGGTCGCTGGCGGCCCAACTTCTCCCCGGCGAGGCGTTTCGTTTGGAAGGCCAGAATGGGGCTCTGCGGCCAGAGGCTTCCAAATGGCGAGAGGCGCCGAGCAAAGGCCCCGGACTGGGAAATGAAGGGACTGGACCGCGCCGTCTCTTGGCCGGATCGAGCCGACAGACAGAGGAGAAGGTGTGTTGATGCTGCAGCCGCGGTTCGCGAGTCTGGCAGGATGCGGCTATCCCTGGGACGCTGGCCCTTGTCCTGACCCTGGCTCAGGTGATAGTGCTGGAGATAGAGTTGGCTGGGAGGCATGGACGGGGCACACGCCATGCACGAGCGAGTGAACGACTGATCAAGCTGCCTAGCTATATAAGATGATGGCGGGATGCCGTGTCTTTCGAGGGGTCTTCTCGAGTTCTGGCAGTTGCTTCTGAATAGCTTCACTCTGCGTGCTGTGCTCGCTTCCTTCCTTTTTTCCTTCCCTTTCTCTTCGTTCCTTTTTCAATTCTTGCCTTTGACGAGGCCATCTGCTGTGCAGATTTTATACCACTCTCTTTGTGAAAGCTTCTTCTTCTTCTTCTCTCCAGCCTCTCCTTTTCCGGTCCATTAGGATTTCATTCCCTCACTCCTCGCTGAGCCACCACCATGATTCCCAAGACAACTTTTGCTTTACTCTTTGCGGCCCTTGCTGCTGCTGGGCCCATCCAGCGTCGAGAAGTTGCGTCTCTTGACCCGGATGCTACCGCCGAGGCACAGAAAAGAGACGACACGGCCACCCGTGCCTTTTCCAATGTCCAGATCAAGACGTCCGATGGCAAGTGCTTGAGCGTCGACCCGCTCTCTGGAGACTTCCGGGCCAACTTGACGCCCATCCAGATCACCGACTGTGGCAGCACGCAAGGCCAGGGCTGGGATGTCATCACCTCCGGCGTCCACAACGACCAGAAGGGCCAGGCTCTGATTGTGAGCACCCTGACCCAGGCCTGCTTCAACTTTGACCCTCGCCGTGCGGCCGGCAACCAGGTGCTCCTCTTCTCGTGCGGTGGGCGCGCTGATGGCGGCGGACAAGTCACCAACTCTCAGCTCTTTGCCTTTACCGGAGGCGCGGGCCCGTTGAGCCTGACCCCTGGCAACGATCCCACAAAGTGCTTCGCTGCCAAGGGCAATGTGGTTGACATTGCCGACTGTAACGATAGCGATGCTACGCAGAAGTTTACCTTTGGCGATGCTGCTGCTGGAGGATCCGACAACAGCAGCAGCTCTGCCGCCGCCAGCTCTGCGCCTGCTGCGACACAAGCCCCGGCCACCTCTGCAGCTGCTGCCCCCAGCGCCACGCCCAGTGCCGCGGCTCCTGCGGATGACCAGAACTCGCTGTGCTCTGCTCCCAAGGTCATCACGGTAACTGACACGACCACTGTCACTGCTGCGGCTGCTGCCCCTCCTGCGGTAACCAACGAGGCCACTCAGACTGGGGAGAGCGCCCAGTCTGCTGCTGCCACCTCGAGCGCCGACAACGCGGCCCAGACAACTGCCGCTGCGTCTCAGCCTGCCGTGACCGCAAACCCGACGACGCCCGTCCCGGTCTCCGGAGCCGGGGGTACCCTGAACCCCACTGCGGTTGCCGAAGCCCAAAAGTTTGATGCCTCCGCTGTTCGACCTTTGGAGAGCGTCAACATCCGGGCCGCCGATGGCCGGTGCTTCTCCATCGACCCCACGGCAGGCGACTTCCGAGAGAACCTGATCCCCATTGGGCTGGCCGACTGCAGCGAAGACGCCAGCCAGAAGTTTGACCTTGTGACCAAGGGCGTCCACGACGATGGCACGGCTGGCGAGGCGCTGATTGTCAGCGTGCTGACCAACGGCTGCGTCAACTTTGACGGCCGGAGAGCTGCCAACGACCAGGTGATTATGTTTTCTTGCGGTGGACGTGCCGATGGAAGTAAGTGTTGACACTCGATGTCCTCTTTCAAATGCAACAGACACTAACGTTGAGTCAACAGGCGGCCTGACTGCGTCTTCGCAGCTGTTCCCCTTCGAGGCGGGCACCGACACGATCCTGCTTACGCCTAACTCAGCTACCAACCAGACCTGCCTCATCGCCGGCACTGACCGGGTGGAGGCTGCGCAGTGCAGTGGTCAACAGGACCAGGTCTTTGAACTGGTGCAGGTCCTGTAAGATACATGCATGCGATGGGAGTGCAGTGCGCGTTTCATGGACGAGCAAGGGGTTGCTCTATGCTACAAGAACAAGCCCCTCAGCTCGGATACAGAGGAAGAGCAAGAGAAAGAAGAACTTTTACACTGTATTATTATTTTTTACTCTCGATTTCAGTTCTTTGTCTCAATGTTCGTTGATCATGACGAGATGCATACATATCCGTTTCTGACGATCAGATGCAAGTACATACAAGTAAAAAGACGATAGAAATCCAGCGTGGAGCGTCTCCAACCAATTGGCCCATGAAGCCTTAATTCGCGGCGTGATTGGCCGGGTCACGATGATCATCGCCATGTATCACGTCATGCAGAACGTAGTCCAGGGAACCTTTTCCTTAACAGCTGCGGCTAAGGCCGAAAAGCAAGGCTAAGGGGGAGAAGCTGCGATCGGTTTCGAAGCGAACATGCAATAAGACGCTCCTCCAATTCTAATTATACCGTGGGGTTATTAATCTTTCTCTCCCTCTCCCATGCTTTTGTTTCAAGAAACATGACAAGATGTTTCGGCCGACGATGCCTTGAACTGCGATTTTGGCATCTTCACTTTTGGTGACGGAATCTCCCTTGGGCTCTGACACGAATTGGATGGAAGACGACCGAACTCGGTGCATCTGACGTGGTGACGTATCTGTTACTATCGTGAGATCAAATTTTGGCTGCTGCTGGTTCGGAAGGCCAACCGACGGCTTCAGCATTGGCTGTCATTGCCATCGTCACCGCTGCTGTCGAGAGCGTCGCGCAGGCAGAGCGCGACCGCTGGCGTGATCGCGCTGCATCACACTCTCCGTCTCCTTCGATATCGTCTCGACCAGCCTCACGGACGCCATGGAGCCCAATCGCGAAGATGGGAGCAGCGCCAGCGCCTCTTCTCCCACCGAGGTACGGCCATCCTTGAATCGAGTCCGCTACGACCTCAGCGTCGACACGGACAACACCAACAACACCAGCAACAGCGCGCCTGCCCAGGTCGACGTGCGGCGCCTCTCGCGCTCCGACACGGCCGTCCACCGCGAGCCCTTCTCGCCCCTGCGCCGCCGCAAGAGCACCCGCGTCCAGACGTTCGTCACCATCGACGACAACGACGACTTCGACTTCGATGCCACGCATACGGAGCGGCCAGGCTGGCAGCCGGGGTCGGAACCTGGCTACGATCCCAATCTGCCGGACGGCGGACACGCTTCGATGCCGACGCTGAGCGCGCAGTGCGAGATCACGGTGGTGGATTTTTCAAAGGATAGGATGGTGAAGAAGCACTTTGACAACGACTCGTTTGTGTCGTTTCTGACGGAGCCCAAGGAGGAGTGGGCAAAGTGTCGGTGGATCAATGTGAACGGGCTCAGTTGGGATGTGATTCAGGCGATTGGTGCGCACAAGGGGCTGCATAAGCTGGCGCTGGAGGACATCATGAATATCAGGAACAGGACCAAGGCTGACTGGTGAGTTGACAAGCGGCCTTCTATGCTGCTATTTCATCATACTGACTCGCCTCTGTACAAGGTATCCGAGCCATGCCTTTATCGTCATGACGCTGCAGAAGCTGGTCCACCTGGTTGACGATGACGATTCTTCGTCTGACACGAGCAGCACCTTCTCAGGAAAGTCGTCCAACAAGATCAAGAGCTGGTTCCGCAACCTTGGCAGCAAAGCCGCAGACAAGGCCGCCAACACCGCCAACAACAGCCCGTTTGATCCCGAGAAGCGTGCCCCCACCAAGTGCATGACGGAGCTTTCTGAGACGCTGGGGCTTCAGGAGACGTCCATGATGCGCTCGCTGCAGCGGTATCACGCCTCGGGCAACGAGGTCCGCACCGAGTACATGGAGGCCAACTCGATCCTGACGCCGCTCAACCTGGCGGTCTCGGCCGAGCAGGTGTCCATGTTCCTCACGTCCGATAACACCGTCATCTCCTTCTTCGAGGTGTCTGCCGGCGATGTGGAGCGTCCGATCGTGACGCGCCTGAGCAACCCGGGCACGGTGCTGCGCGAGTCGTGCGACGCCTCGCTGCTGGTGCAGGCCATCATCGACGCCATCGTCGACCTGGCCGTCCCCCTGACGGCTGCGTACAACGACGTGCTGGGCGACCTGGAGCTGGACGTGCTGACCTCGCCCAACATCAAGCAGTGCAAGACCTTGTACATTTGCATCAGCGAGATCAACAAGATGCTGCGCTTCCTGAACCCCATCGACAACCTGGTCAACGTGCTGCGCGACCACCGCACGAACCTCACACACGACCAGGCCATGGTCGAGCTGGGGAACCCTGCCAGCGGCGTCATTGTCACGCCCATGACGCACACGTATCTGGGCGACGTGCTGGATCACTGCATCATCATTACGGAGGCGCTGCAGCAGAGCAAGCAGGCGAGCGAGAACCTCATCAACCTGATTTTCAACACCATCTCGGCGTACCAAAACGAGAGCATGAAGCAGCTGACGACGGTGACCATCATTTTCTTGCCGCTGACCTTTATCACTGGGTTCTTTGGGCAGAACTTTCCGCCAGAGGGGTTTCCCGAGATTAATAACGGGATATGGTACTTGTAAGTTGTTCCTAACACCAACTGAGTCTTCTTAAGCAAACGAACGATCGCTAATGCGGATATTCTTATAGCTGGGCTTGTGCTGTTCCGACAGCGGTTGCCACCGTGCTCATCCTCATGCGCGAAATGATTTACTCTTGGATCATGAGGGTCATACAGAGGCAGCGGGTGGTACATATCCGGAAAAAGAACAAGGCCAAGAGGAAGACGCGGTGAAAACTGGCTGCTGGTTGGTGATGATGCTTGTAAAATTGCATGGCTATGGGCTGGTTGTCGAGATACCCTTGAATATGCTCCTTGTTTGGTATATAGATGCTCTTGTTAAAAGTGACTTGATTCTCGTATGCAAAGACCCTCGTGAAGTCGAAACCAACCCCAACTTTGTCAAGTAAACTCATCCTCAGCATCATCCGCATGCACATCAGACAGCATACCGCTCCTCATCCAAAAGCGTCCTCTCCCGCCAACTCTCCTCCACCCACCCCTCGCTCACCAGCCGCGGCAACTTCCTCCTCGAGCTCTTACTCAGCCTCTCCCGCAACTTGTCCCCCACGTCGGCCACCTCCATCACGTCGTCCCCCAGCACGACGATGTGCGTCACCGACTCGTCGTCCACCTCTTGGCTGCACGAACCGCCGCCGTAGCGAATATACCGCTCCCACTTGTCCCTTGCGACTTCTTTCGCGCTGTCGACGAGGTAGAAGAGCACTCTGCAGCGTGAGAACATGAAATTCCGTAGTGAAGAGATGTTCTTGCCGTGCTGTTCCAGTTGTTCCAGGAAGAGCATCTTGTCGAATGTTTCTCTGTTTTCGAGCTTCGGCATGTCCCTCAGCAGTTCTCGTAATTCATCGACACTACTCACGTCCCGCGCATAACTGTCCCCGTACCGATCCGTGTTCTGCGCCGCGACGTCTGCCAAGGCGTCCGTCGCATGGAATAAGTGGCCTGGCTCATACGGGAGCAGGAACCCGCCGTTGGGCTGCTCGAGACAGTCCCTGATCCATTTTGGTCTGATAATGTCTGCGTCGCCGTTCTTGATGAGGCTGGCAACTTTGACGACTTTCTTGTCGGCGATGAGGACCATTTTCGTTCCCGCGGCGGCTCTTTGCGATATCGCGCCGCCGTTTTCCTTGATGATGGATTCGAGCTGCGTTTTTGACTTTTTGTAGGGCTTTGGGGATTCGGATAGGACGCAGAATTCGAAGCCTTCGAAGAGTTTGGACTTGTTGCCTTCGAAAAGAGGAGGAGCTGCGTCGTCGCCTGCAATGACGAGTTCCTTCTTGATTCGCTTCGGGTTTCGTCTCCTGCGATCTTCGACTGTCATTTCTGTCGCCTTGAGTTCCGATTCTACTCTCTGCTTGAGCTCTTGAAACTCTTCCAGAGACAAGGCCGTGTCCCAGCTGCGGTCAAGCCGTAGTCTTCGAAACCGAGGGAATCGTAACGTGAAGCCCCTGGCGAACTGATCTGACGGCCCGACGCTGGCAGCCTTGACGGAGACCACGACGGAGTCCTTGGGCCGAATCCACATGTCGGGCCGTTCGTACTGCTTGGCCTCGCCGCCGCCCAGCTCAATGTACTCGGACGGCGGGTTCTTGGGATCCCATTCCATCCACTTGCCGTCTGTGCGGTGCCGGATCTCGGCGTAGTCCTCTGTGCGGAAGCCGCCGCCGACCTTGAAGAAGCTGAAGCACTTTTCCGGGTTGGCGCCGGCCTGGATGTGGTTCTGCGTGACGCGGAGGCCGCACAGGAAGCTGGACAGCATTCCTCCTCGTCGTCCTGAGCCGTAGTAGCCGCCGATGATGACGCAGTCGAGCGACTCGCCGAACTCGGACATGTACTCGGGCTTCACCTTGAGCCAGTCGTCGTTGCGGCTGTTGAGGCGATACATGGAGCGTGGGTTCTTCAAGACGAGGCCTTCTGACGCGTTGGCGACAACCTCTCGCAGAAGCGGCTCGATGGCGTCGGCTGATGTGGCGGGCGTGTATTCATGGATTTCCAGCCGTCGGTGGACAGGCCTGATTGCCTTTTGCAGCGCATTTCGGCGATCGCGCAGGGTGTACTGCGTCAGCTGCTTGTCGTTCAGATACAATATATCGAACACTCGAAACAGGGGGCGGTGGCCGGCCGCGTTGGATTCGGACTTGTTGCTTTGCTCCGCGATGGCTGCTGATTTGAGGGTCCCAAAGGGGACAATCTTGTCCACGCCCATGTCCCAGGTAATCATCTCGCCATCGAGAATGAGGTTCCGCACGCCGGGTGCAAAAGCGTTTTTGAAATGTCTCGTCAAGCTGGAATTTTCATCCAGCAAGCCGTCGCCGTAGAGATAGGTATAGTCCTTGGCCTTTCTCGACCAGAAGCGAAATCTTCGACCCCCGGGGTGATCGGGATCCTCCATCATGTGCATCTGCATGCGCTCGCCGTCAAGTTTCTCCTCGATCCAGAACTCGGCGTCATCTTCCGTCGGCCGTAGAAGCTCAATCATCTTTTGGAACGAGGCCGGCATCTGAAACTGCGCCAGCTGTGGCTGGAAGCATTGCATCAGCGCAATACCCGCCTCGTCCTGTTCGAGTCGGAATTCGGGGTCGTAGAGCTCCCAGCATACGCGCCTGAGACTTGACGATACGCTGAAGAGAGCCTCGGCGTCGGGGTGCCATAGATACAGGAACGTCTTCTCCGTGGCGCCCACCTTCATCTGCTTCAGGATGATGCGGATGAGCCACATAAGCTCTTCCGCATTCATGCGATTGTAAAAAGTTTCAAAGATGCGGAGATTCTCAGCCTCGCCGCTCGAGGCCGCCAGCTTGTCCAGCTGGTGATTGACCTCTGCAATGGTCATGTCGCCCACCTGGGTGCGCATGGGTCGCTTCGAGATGACCTCGAAGCAGCGGCCGGCAAAGTCGCCCGCCAGACGCGCCCCGGTGGTTTGGCCTGGCAGCTTCCAGTGCAGGAGGTTGTAGCCATCTTCCGAGTTTTTGTCAATCTTCATCAGCTTGACCAGGAGCTTCCCGATGGCATTCTCCTTTAGCCCGTAGACGCCGCGATCCCGGTCTTTGTCTGGAAGGATGAGCCGAAGGGCAGGGTAAAAGTCATTGCCGACCTCCTTTCTCCATCTAGTGATGAGTCTCTCGACGATGTGCCGCCTCTGCTCCTGGGGCGACAGCTTGGTGAGTCCATGAGGGCCCCTTTTGCTGGCGGGTATTGTTGGGCCAGAGGGCTGTTTCTTGTTGTCGTTTAGGGGATTGAAAAGCTCTTTGAACAGCTCCGCGAATTTGAGCGTCTTGGAGTGGTTCCTCGGCTTATTGGGATATCTTGGCTGCGTTAACGAACGCCCGATGCTCACCTTTAAGGTCAGATGACACTTACTTTTCGGCTATCTCTTCCTCGGTCATGCCACTTGTGCCATATTGCAGGTCATCTTCCCTCAGCGCCTCTTCGTCGGGAGTTTTTGTCTCCTTGGCCGTCCATTTGCTCATGTCGCGCTAGGCTGAAGATTGGCTTGTTATTAGCGGTGATGCGCCAGTAGAGATGGCCAGCGTATTGCCGTTGAGGGTATATTGTCACTGAGTCTTTCTCTTAGAAGTGGGGTAATTGTATGGCAAAAGGCGGGAAGGTCAGGCAACGAAGGTCAATGAATGGCAATCTGAAGCAATCGCGTCTTGTGCTGTGACGATGCAGCTTTATAGATATACAGCGTGAAGGTCAAGGCACAAGTGAAGTCATTCGAGCTGCAGGGGATTCGTGGGTCCGGAGCTGCTGCCTGCACGCCGCCGTTTTGAGCTTAGTCTATCAGGCTGCTTATGTAAACCAGGCAAGCCTCGAATTGTTTGCTGTTACTACTATACCTGAAGGCCCCAGAACCAGACAGCTTCAAGTTGAGCTGCGCCTTTCGCATTCATTGCTGTATCTGGCATATTTTGGGGGGCTGAAGAGCTCTTTCGAGACAATTGCACAATGATCTAATGCCACAAGCCGTCTGAATGCTACATGACACATGTCGCAGCATGCATTCCCGATACACGCCGCTCTGTCGGTATCAAAGGGAGATACCACCAGCTACTTTCTCGCCCTGGCCATCAGAGGCTTTCCCGGAGGCTTCTTTCGAAATCGAAAATCAACAGCGGATTCAGCTAATGCTTTATTTTGATCCTTTGTTTGACTGACCCGGACAGCTTGCAGTGTGTTGCCATCTGAGCAAATACAAGAGTATGGCGAAGATGGAGGCCGTGATATAGGTAGGTCCCCGTAGCCTCATGGACACTCGGGGCCAGTGCAACTCGATCTTGAGGGCAACGCAAGGTAACCTGTCACTGGTTGTAACCCAGCACAGTCCTTGTATCAGCTCCTATGACCGGCCTTCTTGGAAGAATTGGTTGCCAGCTGTCGACGTGCAGCCAAGGGGAAGGAGATCATCTGCCGAGTGAACAGCATGCAATTTGTTCCTTCCACACGGGTATAAAGCCGCCTTTCTCTTGTCAGGGGGCACCCAGAAGACCTCGCATTGCTGGAATGAAGGCCTTCTCTCTGAAATCCACAGTTATTCTTTCGACTCATCACACACATCGTTACCGCAAACATCTTTACCACATTCATTAGGAAAAGCGACGACTCTCCGACCTCAGGCGTATATTACCCAATCTTTCCGCTATTACGATCGCTGAAGACGTCGTATTGACAGTATCTCGTCCGAAAATCACGCCTTGTAAAATCACATATCATGCCTCGTCCAGAGCTTGACTACCGCTTCCCGCAAACTACCTACAGTTTCGAGATTGAATGTCTGGTGGCACAGGAGCTGCCGGGGTTCAACTACGACTCTACTCTCAACTACTTTCATGGAAGTTGTGATGCTCTGCCTTGGGCATGTCCGGCCGACGAAAAAGATCCTTACCAAGCCATTCTGGAGGGGGTCAAGGAGTTGCTGCTGAGATACGGACAGCCTGTGGCAAACGGCGCGAACGTTTCGGCTCCCCAGCCATATGCAGGAGATGCTTCATGTTGGCCCTTCCAACGCACACGTCCTATAGATCGCCCTGACGAATTATGGCACGTCGAACCTTCAGTCACTACATATGCAAAGAGAGACAGTCCGCAGATGTACGAATGGTTTGGCGTACGGCTTCGCAGTCCAACATATCAAAGCAAGATCTTCGTGGCCAACGATATTGAATCGCCGACGGAATGGATCCTCGACGTTCTGAGAAAGAGCCTTGTTATACACCTCAACTCAACGTGCAGATTCAATGTTCAGGTCCGGCCCTTGACCGAAGCGGTATCTCTACTTCATGTCAAGAAACTGGTCACACTGGTCTGGGTTCTTGAAAAGGAGCTGTTTGAACGCCTCTCTCCCAACTCTTACGGGCGGCTTCACCCTCACGTTCGAACGCTAGAGGCGCATTCTCGGGTCGCGAGTCTCATCTGGCATGGCTCTGGAGAAAGGTCGCCTCAGAAAGACCCCTTGAACTCTGCCGTCACGAACCTTCATTTGCCCGACCTACAAAACAAGGAACTTTTAGCCAGACTTCAATTTCTGTGGCAGATGCAGTCACTCGACGACCTTGTCGCCGCTCTTCGTACAACCACCGGTCAGGATACATCACTTGCTATACGGCCTACGGGAGGGCCTTTTGATACACCAATCTTTGAGTTTCGCTACGCCCTCTGGCACCCCTTTGGCCAACTAGACGCATCCAAGCACTGGATCGAGCTGTCTTCGAAACTCGTCCAGACTTCCTTGGTGAACGCTTCCACCTTCAAGAGGAACGTCACACTACTGGATGGTATGATATACAACTCTTCGAAGAGCGACACGCCCCCCACACTTCGATGGAGGGCGCTCTTGGCAATAATGGACCTGGAAAAGTGGTCGGACTCCTGGGAGTTCATCATCAGCCAGTACAAGGACGGCCAACGGCTCGCCGCTCGATCGCTCGATAAGCAGAAACTTTTACACGAGGAGTTGAAAAAAGCAGATGGCGAGATGGAGACCACAGCATGAGTCTCTCTTTTGAATTTATATGTCTGCCTAGCGTATTCAGTGACAGCGTCTGGAATTTGGAGTTTCGAATGTTGGGTCTTTACTACATATTTTTGTGATCATCATTATCAAAATCTTCATCACAGCGTGACATTATTGAATCATTAAACATTATACTTTCCAAATCTCTCGATATTGAGCGACATGGTGATCCTATATACACGGTGAAGGATCCGGTCTATGTCTAGGTTAATTGTCCCATTCAGGAGACGCAAGCCAGGGGGCTGAATCCATCGCTCCATCGGAGCCCTCCCATGATGGCAATCATCACCGCCAGAGCGGCCACCACGCTGCTGAAGCCATATACATACGAGTGTCGTCGTTCAAGGCTACTCAACTCGGCAACCCATGTCGAAATCGTCGTCAGACAGCCGCAAAAGCCATCCTCGATGCCCTGCAGCACCTGGCAACCCGCCACTCCTCCCACGCGAGCATGGGCGATATCCCACGCCATGCCGAGGACAGCCGTGCCGCCGACGTTGGCGGTGAAAGTACCGAGGGGAAAAGACGCAACCTTGGCGTTGAGGTGGATGGAGAGGTAGAAGCGCGCGAGGCAGCCCAGGGGCGCGAAGACGAGGGCGAAGAGGATTTCGCCGCGCCACCTGTTGTGCGGGGGAAAGATGGCCATGAGGACTGCGCCCAGCCAGCAGCCCCAGCCGAGGAGGACGCCGAGGGGGTCGAGGATCTTGCGGGTTACGGGGTAGGGGATCGATGGTGTGAAGCGTTCAAGGGCGATGGCGAGGTGGGCTCCTAATATCAGGCCTGAAAGCGAGAGCGATACTGTGGTGATAGTTACGGCGAGGAGGGCCAGGAATGAGTATCCGCCGTTTCGGCCCGGTATGCCTAGCTCTGGAGTAACCATCTGGTTGGAAAGGGCGAGGAAAATGTCTCGGATGAAACTCGAGAAACTGGTGAAGCTGCCGCAAAAGCCAGTCGCCAGGCCAATGTACAGAGGGATCGTCTTTTTCGTGGCCAGATGGGCCTTTTTTGCTGCCGCCAGATCGATGGACTCGTCGCCCTGTCCGGAGCTCCCATTGCTATTCCCGTTCTCTTTTGCGCGCGCGAGCAGCTGGTCGTAAGTGGGCATCCCCCACTCATAGCGGAACAGCATCCGATCCTCGGACAAGAAGCCCATGATGAGGCTGCCTCCAAAGTTGGCCCATAGAACGCTGAAGACGATAGGCACGCCGGGATACGTCGTCAGCGCGGTCAACCCCACACGCGCAAGAGTGCCCCAGATGGAAAAGAAGACGAGGTACGATATTGTGTAGATCTGCGTCGCCAGCCTCGACACGTGGTGTTCCTCCTCCTCTCCCCCTTTTGCCTCGACGTCCAACTGCTCCGCCGGGGGATGGGAAGGCTCCCTCGTCTGAGAGACGCTGGCCCGTCGTCTTTCGCGCTCATCGCGATCGCGGCTGCGGATCTGCTCTAGGCTGCGATGCCGGTAGATGGGCGCCTCTGCGACGTTTTCCACCGGGCTTGTTGCTGCTACTTCGTCGAGGTTGGCCCAGTCGTCTGGGATGTCGTATGTCGGGCTCTCTGCGGCGGATGAGCGCCGAGCTTTGCGAACGGGTGATGAAGATGAAGATGCCGATTCTGCCGCCGTTACCGGAGCCTGACGTCCGTCTGGGATGTCAACTGACAGTCCGGCGGTGCCATCGTCGAGATTCTGATACGCGGTCGGGGCGTTGTAGTCCGTGGGGCTCGACTGCGATGCGGTTTCTGGCTCGCGCGGCGACGAAGCCATTGTTCTTCAAGACTTGAACAGGCGCTGGAGGTGCTCAGCCTGGGACGTAGACGGCGTTTGAGCCACGAAGCATGGCGAATGGAAAGGAATGAAGATCCCAATGGCTGGGAGAAAAGAATCTGATCATGTTTTGCGCCGAGTCGGATGTAAGGCACGAGAACGACAGGGGAGCAGCGAGGAGCCGAGATTCAGCCGCTAACCATCGGCATTTGAAACCCGAACGGATGTCACTGTCAGGTACCTCGGATGAGTAGTACTACCTCTGTGACGCTCTGCATCGGAGGCTGCGAAGATAGACTCGGTGATTATTTTCTTCTGTCTTCTTATCATCAGATTAGGTCTTCGAGATCCATAGTAAATGCTCGATTAAACGTCGCTTCACCACTCGCCCCAGACAGCTGCTGCACCTTGAAGTCCCGTCAGGTGCCTTATCAGCTGGACCCACCGGCGGGCCTCTCCGATACCCGATCCACGCCTGAGCAGCTGCCATCTCCACACTCCGCAAAGCCCGGCGTGCGCTGTGGCTCCAGCACGGTTAGAGCATCGCTTAGCACCGTTAGAGCAACTGCTGGAGCACCGTTAGCACTGACCCCTCCCCCACCTTTAGGTGCCCTCCGATATGGCATCTCCCCTGGTATCTCGCTACGTAATTTGTGCCCAGTCTAACACCTGCATCTCACCTCGACTCTATCACGACCGCTTCTTTCTCCTCTTTCCTTGGGCGCTATTCTTTATCTTCTTAGAATCCCTATATCCGTCTTGATTTCCATCTATAAACCTTCACTTCTCGTTCAAGCTATCCCTCAATTCTCTACGTCTTACATCAGTCATTGGGTCTCACATCATCAATACATAACAGGCAGATACGACTACCCAACCCACGCATCATCTTCCAGTTTCCATACTACCAGCCATGGCCTTGCCTTCAAACGTCCACGTCTCGCAGCATCCCAGCTTGCTGGCCAAGCTTAGCCAACTGCGATCCAAATCCGCCAGCTCTCGCGACGTCAAGTCTTTGATCCACGAGATCTCATTAATCATTGCCTGCGAGGCCGTCAGCTCGGCTCTAAAACCGACCAATGGCCCAAAGGTAACCTCCCCTCATGTATGGATTTGATAGAACGCTTCATTTACTCACGACGAACAAGGATCAAACTCCCCTCGGCTTCGAATACACGACCGTTGTCTCTGAACCGAACCACATCTGCATAGTTCCGATCCTCCGGTCCGGCTTGGGCATGGTCGAAGGTCAGTCTCCCAAAAGCGCCCAATAGCCTCCTAATGACCGTACGTAAACTCATGACTTGCAGCCGTACAAACTATGCTCCCAGAGTCAGTACCCATCCACCATCTCGGCATGTACCGCGAGCCCTCGACCCTCGACCCCGTCGAATACTACAACAACCTCCCCCAACAAAGCCCGGGCTCTGCCGAAAGCAGCAAGCTGGCCATCATCGTCGATCCTGTCATCGCTACTGGCGGTACGTGCGCGGCCGCCATCCAGACCCTGCGCGAATGGGGCGCCAGGAGGGTGCTTGTCCTGTCTGTCCTGGGAGCTGAGGAAGGTGTCCAGAAGGCTGCCGCTGAGTGGCCCGAAGGAACGGAGATTTGGATCGCGGGCGTCGATAAGGAGCTGACTGACGGAGGCATGTTGAAGCCTGGCTTGGGCGATGTTGGAGACCGTCTGTTCTTGACTATTGGCAAATAAGCCCCGTACCATTGCTTGATCGGGTGGATATCAGACGATAAACGTGAAAGATAACGGAACCTACTTTATTACTGATATATAGCGCTAGACATAGCATTCAATGGGGACGAGTATCGACAACTTTATCTGGAAGGCTCTACTGTTCTTGTATGTTATGGGGGGAAACGTGCCATGCGGGAAGAGCATGCGAAGGGACACCAGAGGAGAGCATGCCGGAAACCGCTATCCGGGACATGCCCTTGGACCTTCTCAAGCAATCTCCCTGGCAATCCGGTTTCCTCCCAATCTCCTGGTTGCTGACACGAGCTTCTTTAGGAGGTTCATTCAGACTTCTTGAAATCCTCTGGCCATTGTCGCCGTACCGATCTTCAACGCTTCTCTGCTATCTCCCACCTTTGACGACGATATCAATCAGCCGCTGAGCTCTACTAACAATAGTAGTCTCACCATGGGTCGAAACAAAGCGCGAAACAGAGGCAAAGATAGATCGCAAAGCGACATGTCGCAAGCCGAGCCAGGTCTCAAGCAATGTTCAACAGGCAGCGCGCAAGAAGCGGAAAAGCCATACTTGAGATGTGCGGCTGAGTGGATTGATGGGGTACAGTGTCCAACCGCTGCAAACATGAAGATTGTCTGCCAGAAATGTCAGCTTGTCGCTGTAAGTAGTTGGTATCGGTGGAATAACCCATACGTATCGCTTGTTCTTCGCTGGCCTATCTCTCCCCCCCTCGCCTCTCTGTATCTCATCTCTGTGCTTAGCTGGATATAAGTATGTAGGCTGACACACGAACATTCACGTATACAGTATTGCAGCCAAGATTGCAAACAGGAGCACGCGAAAGTTCACAAAGCATCATGCCCACCTCCACACGTCCCTCCATCGGCAGGCATTGACGGCGCTGCGATTCCTGATCATCCAGTCTTTGACACTGGAGTTTTCTGGGGCAATTATGCCGCGACCGACATCCTGAACCTGGCAGAAAACGAGGGAGCAGAGTATAATGGCCCCCTGAAGCTCCTCCTCCTCGGTCGTCAGTTTGCCGCTTCCTGTTTCTGTACCCTTTGATTTGGCATCTCTGTTAACGAGCCTAGCTTTTGCTTTGCGGCACCTTGTTTATTCTGTTGCCGCCATGCCAGAGACGGCGTTGCCAGACCTCGAAGTTGTCATTTGCGAGAACGATCTCCCTCAGCTTCTGCGGACGATCATTTCGCTGCACGCCATGATCTGGTATCATGATGACCCTTCACGAGCTGCAGAGGTCGTTTCACAGGTTTGGTATTCGCTCAAATTGCCTCAAGAAATCTATTCGTACATCAGGGAGACATTTTCAGAAACTGTGTCAAATGCCCGCAAAGAAGTGCGATCTTTCCGTGAAGGCGGGAATATTCAAACTGCGGGAGTTGCTTTCAAAGGAAGCAACCTGCGACTGCACACTCAACTCGAGCCCGATGTATGGGATGCTATCGTGGATCACATCCATCAAACCCCATCCAAAAATGCGGCTACCGCTAGATTGGCGAGGGAAACCGACGCAGCACTGTACGGTGAGCCTCTGGACAGGGTACACGCGAGGATGTCGCCATCAAGAGCGGCAGCTTTGATGAAGTGGCGACAGGATGGCATTCTCATGCCTTATAGCAGCCCGACGGAGTCCTTTGTCAAACAAAACCCGTAAGTCTGGAGACCAGCTTGGGCCATAGAAGAGAGAGAGAGAGATGGGAGACTCTTGCTCACGCTGTACAGCATCTTCTTCAACCCTGACGGAAGCCAACCCACCGGCTTGACCAACGAGCCTCTCTCCGAATGGCCAATGAAGGAAATCCTAGAGTATGCCCCGTATCCTGCGAGAGGCGATGTATACGGCAAAATGAGCTGCTACATCCGCAGCAAGGTCGTTGCGTTCCTAAAGCGGGTGGAGCAAAGGAAAATCAATATAAGTCTCACGGCTTGTGGCCTTACGGAGATGGTGGGACAGCTTCGGGAATTCTATGAAAGGAGGCTGCCGTCCTTCGATCGCATAGAGGTAATGTGCAGTAGATCTGAAGACAGGAGAAGCCTTGCTTACGCCCGCGTCTCAGGTCGGACATCTCTTCGAATTCGAGCCCGAGCTATGTTTTCTGTCATGCGCAACTTTGCTGCGACACGCAGACGAGAACCCCCTGGCGACCATGCTGACCATGTGTCGGGAGAGTGTCGTCTCGGCAGAGTCACCCAAACTTGACAAGTATGTGGCTGCTGAGAAAGATCTCATTTTCCATCGAAATCTCGAGCCACTGGACGCGATCATACCACCGGCACAAGCTGCGGGCGAAAACTACAGCGCCGCCTCGTTGCGTCGGCACATGGGCATCTTACTCTTCCGCGACTGGGACATGTTCTCCTATCAGTACGTGGCTGTCAAAGGCATGTGAGCGTTAACATATGACAGGATGACTGACTTTACATGACCGCAGCTATCTAAACGATGCAGATCGCTTTGGAGGCCGAGTCCCCGGAGAGGAATTGTCACACCAGCCCAAGGCCAGCATCTTGAAAACTGGCTACATGGGAGTGCATTTGAAGCGTAGGAATACAATTGTGAATGCGTGGCCAAATCGATTGGTGCATGGAGCAGGCAGCAGGCCGTCTAAGGAAGAAGTGTCGCGCTGGGTGAGCTGGTCTACGACCAAACCAGAGCGTTGGCTGGAGTGGAAAAGGACAGGGGATGTCAACACCAAGGAGTGGTTAAGACACCTTGGGAAGATCAGGGGGCCATACGTGTTGGCTAACATGAAGAAACTCTACAACATGCTCCTGGCGGCCGATCAAGAAAGAGATTATCACGAAGAAGACGAGGAAGAAGGTGGAGATGAGGCTATACGTGTCATGGTCAAGAATGTCGAAATGCAAGGGGAGCAACCTGACCAAGAGGAGAATGATGTCGGATTGGGACTCATCGACTGGGAATACTCGGAGAATGGAGACAGGGCGCCTGGCGAAGCGGCCAAGGTTGAATAAGGGTCTTGTCCGCATCTGCTCTCCATTGGACGACATCCACGACGATGGACTGCCGGCTTCTAGCCTTATGGGTAGTGTCTGTTGGCGGGAGATGCAACACATGGTTTGTTATGACTTGTTTATGGCAGAGATTTGCTGGATCAACTGCGGTTGCTTGTGTCGGTTTTATTAACGCCGAAGGACATATGGACCAAACTGGAGGGTGCCATTCTGCCGCTGAGAGTACGGATACCAATGGGACTATCGGCCTCCAGGTGGGATGCAAGTACCACATTATGGACAACTTGTTATGTAGCTTCGGGTTCATTATTAATGAAGAATGCCTCGGAATACCACATGCAGCTTGATGAATTCCGCGCTTGTGAAGAGGAGTGATGCATGTCATGAGCGGATAGACTGATTCGTGGGTCGTTGCATTGGGCTTCTTCACGCGAAGCCTCTTGGAGCACCGACGCGAGGACGTCTCCGAGTGGGTTGCATGGTGTATTGATATGATTAGACAGCTGATGAAGTTGAAAGGACTCAGGAATGGATGGATGAGTGTGTGTTTATAAGTGATAGGAAATGTGTGTTTGTAAGTCGATAATACGGGGGGATGGTGATCCGGGGATGACATGGATTTTGGATTGCATTGGCCTGACGTCAAGTCCAATCTGATGCGGGTATAAAGTACGGGGTGGTGGACGCATCATCCGATGATGGAGTATGATCTGACTCAACTTGTGCTATTACATGCTGGTTTCCCCGCTCGCGTCTTGATATCTGATGATATATTCCAACTGTGAACATCTCGGTTGGAGGCTCAACTAAGGGCAAGATAAAAACAGCCACCAGGCAAGACAGACAGCCACCAGACACATACGCAACCATGGCTCCCGAGACGAGGCGCACCTCCAAGACCGGACCCGAGTACGAGCTCATCTACTGGCCCGGCATCCCCGGCCGCGGCGAAGTCGTGCGGATGCTCTTCGAGGAGGCGGGCGTCGCGTACACGGACACGGCCAAGGGCAAGCGGGCGGTGCCGACGGTGCTCGCCCACGCGGCGCCCGAGTGCGCGGGCGACGCGGCGAACCCGCCCACGTTTGCGCCGCCGGTGCTGAAGCACGGAGACCTCGTCATCAACCAGCTGCCCAACATCCTGCTGTACCTGGCGCCGAAGCTGGGGCTGGGGCCGGCGAGCGGCAACGGGGTGTATCACCTGAACGAGCTGGCGCTGACGATTCTGGACGGGCTGCTGGCGGAGGTGCACGAGACGCATCATCCGGTCGCGACGGACCAGTACTACGAGGAGCAGAGGGAGGAGGCGAAGAAGAGGGCCAAGGCGTACAGGGAGGCGAGGCTGCCCAAGTTTTTGGGGTATTTGCAGAAGGTGCTTGATGGGGAGAGGAGTGGGGGGAGTGGGTGGTTGTATGGGGAGTTTACGTATGTTGATTTGGTGCTGTTCCAGGTGAGTTTTGCTTCTTGAGCTTGGTTTTCCTTGGAGTTCTGGGGTTCCAGCTTTGTTTGATGGGATGCTGATGAGATTGGGTAGTGCCTTGATGGAACAAAGTATGCGTTTCCAAAGACGGTGGAGAGGTTGAAGAAGACGGGTAAGTATGATGGCGTGTTCAAGCTGTACGATGCCGTTAGGGAGAGGCCCAACATTAAGGCGTACTTGGAGAGTGATCGGAGGGTTGACTATGCGGATGGCATTTGGCGGTACTATCCCGAGTTGGAGGACGATGAGTGAGGGCATTGAGAAATTGTGGAATCAGAGAGTTGTTGAGAGGATGAGATGATGATGTGCTGTTTGATGCTGCTTGCCGGGAGGCACCTTGACAGTGGCCAGGTGGCATCGGTGAGGGATGCTGTGATCCGGATGAGAGGCGGTCATAGGACGGGTTGGGGCAGCAATAGCTTTATTCTAGCCTGATTGTGGTACGAATAGAGTGAAATCGCTGACATTTGAGTCTTCGTTTGGGTGATATGGCTCGGTCGTTGGATGCTGACTTTGTCTATCGTGATGTAATCTAGACGGATATCCGCTGTAGAGCTGCACCCTTCCATCAGTCGATGACGCATACAAGACTCCCCTTTCTCAACAATTTCTTCATAGGTCTGAGACGACAGAGACATAAGTGTGCTGCTTTCCCCCGTCGGGAGACTATCCGTCTGCATCGACTGGCCACCGAACACATTATGGGACGAAGGGGTGTTACGGCCGTGTAAGTCTTCGCCATCCCCTGACTTGTCTAGCTGCAACTGATCTCATTTCAATTACGACAGTTACCGACCACGACTGCCACCCACCCTGGGAAAGGCAGTCAATAGCATGAGGACACACTTATAGAGCCCACGGCATTTCCATCGGTGAACTACTTGATATACAACAAAACTGCCACGACGGCGACGATAAACTCGGCGGCCCCTGACAACAGCAATTGTCCCGGTCGTTCGAATGGCGGCCTCCGGAACCTTCATTATCTCCCATCACTCATGGATATCACCCCGCTTCAGACGCAGAAATCTTTGTTGCGAATATCAACATCATGGCGACAGGAGTGAACCTCCACCGATGTTGCTCTAAGGGCATTCGGGCCACGTGATGCCATTGCACTGAAGAAACTGGACTACATAAGCTGGACATATTGTCATCCGGTAAGTGATCGGGCGTTGGTCGAGAGCGGTCCCAGACAACAGAGCCAGATTGTAGGTAGATTGAGGCATGTAATTGCCAAGGTCGAACATACAATGTACGTCTTGTCTCAAGGAGTCCGGTTCACTCCTTTGTGCTGTTGGCGGCACGTACTGATTTGCCAATTCCCTAGAATGACGAGACTCTTGATCTCGTGGTTTGCTGCTAGTGAAGACATACAGACGGCTCTGACCACGCCGTTCTACTCGAGAGCGCTTTATATGAGGCTTGTGAGTATACTTCCTACCACGTATGCTGCCGGGAGTTATCACACATTGGGCGTGGCTGGATGGTGTGACTAATGAGTGTCGGTAGCGGTCGCAGCACATATGGCTACTGGCACACCACCGAGCTGTCACAAGTCGAAGAGATGCTAAGAACAACAATCCAAATCTTCCAGCATCGGTGTCAATACTATAAAGACCGCGGCCATGACATCAGCTTCTTACGGGACACAGGAAGCGTCTACACGCACTTGCCTTTACTGCCTCCTGATCTCGACGTTATGATCTCGGCCCATCAACGAAACGGTTCAACCTCACATGACGCGGCAGTTCAGGAAGCAATTCTGAGGCCGCAGCAAGCCATTCGCCAGTGGCTCCTTTTCCTCAAGGAAAATCACCCCGGCTAACCGAGTCACGACTTACAATGAAGGCATTCCTGCAGCACAAACGCCGGCTGAGATTGAACAAGTACAAAAGAAGCCCACCAAGGCGGCAACAAGATGCCGCCTCCATATCCATCATGGTGGTGGTTTCTGGCCTCCTTATGGACCACATGACCAATGTCAACAATGTGCTGATATAGATGAGCCATGCATTTGCATAACCGATCTAGCTTGCATTTACAACCCATTGGTCATTCAACTTATCAATGTTATTACCTGGGCGGTGCTTCCGACATTCTTTTGCGAAAATGCACTCACTGCAACAGCCACAGCCCCATGGTCAATCATGCCATCTGAGGGAGCCTGACTTGTTGAGTGGAAAGCGGCTGAATCATCGCCAATACCAAAAGCAAGATCCACTGGCAGCAGCGTACGTTTGTTATCTCTCTTCATTCACACATGTATTAATGTTCTGTCTTTCAAAGATAACGAAGAGCTCCAATGGTTCTTTTCTGAAGCCTATGGCTTCCACCGCACACGCTTCCTATAAGCGAAGTTGTACAAGCGTGCGGATCTGTGTGGAAAGGCCCTGAGTATGCATATGTGTCGAGTGAGGCCATAGACGCAAATGCAATGCGGAAGGCTGTTGCTGATACATACATGCCGACTCCTCACGTTTGCCTCGGGCATTCTATTCCAATCTGCATGGCGCAGTTCCATCGGCATGAAATACTATCAGAGAACATGAGCAGACCCTCTACCGGTTACTTTCGACAAGCCCACGGAGCGTGGTATAGCGCACATCGGAGACCTGGGGACATGGAGTCATAGTACCGGATGGGTGGCCTGCCTCTCAGGACTCTTCTTCCGGACGGCGCCAACACAATGGGTAAAAGAGCTGGCAAAGGAACTTCGACCCTGGCGACGTGAATGGAATCATGAAGCTCTCATCGCAAACAGACTTCGAACGGGAAACTTGCGCTAAGTCGAAGGAGTTATCTTTTGTGGTTGCTGAGAACTTGGATGCATCAAGACGTAACCAGCCGCAGATGAAGATGGGTGCTTGCACCAGTTGCAATAACAGCTCCCAACTTCCATCGAACGTGATCACCCTCCACCGCGATGGTGATTCAAAATGACACGACAGACCTCTCAGTAACCTTCTCGAACGGAAGGTGGGAGAACAAGACGAAGGAGTTCTTGGCCATCCACAATCAGCAAACCAAGCACTCATCGATCTACAAGTTGCCTTATTCTCCTCCGGGCCAACTATCGCGATGTCTCATCACTCCACAAACATAAGCTTTATCCAGGGTCCTCGGGCTAGAGCTGTATGTCTACAGAATAGACCGAGAACGCACTACCTCCCGATGTGAATACAAGGTCACTGGCAACTTCGGAAAGAAGACCTCATTGCTCGGACAGCCTTGTGACTCAAGTTCACATCCACTCGACCACGTCCAGTCTCCAGTGTTATCGACAGAGGACAAGCTTCTGCAGCACGTACGGATGCTCTCAGTGCTGCATCTTTTAGATGTGGCCTGCGCTTGAACGCACCGTCTTCTTCCGGACCACAAACGCCAAGAGGGGCAAAACACCCTCGTCTGCAGCTTCTGCCAAGGCGACCATGCTGGCAGAGACTATAAATCGTCTCAATTGCTGGACTTGCTTCACTCTACCAATGACTCTCCAGTCAACGATACCTTCCGTCCCGCATTGCCTAAGCATGGGATTGGGATAGACAGATCTCGAATCCACACAATCGACAAACGGGACTAGCTGAAGGCAGTACGAATGCTCATCTCGGAATACGTCCGCCAAGCGCACGTCATCACCGCAACGCACTGAAGATGCTCGCCAAACACGTGAAGGGAATCCCGCCTTCGTCTATTGCAGGTACAGGAAAGGCAGCCAAAGGATCAAAGAGCCACTTGGAGACGGGAACATCGAAGGGATTGCATAAATCATCCAGGTTACGCACGCAAGGCGAACTGTGGGCTGGCCGACAAACGGACAAACTTACAGGTACCACTCACGCCTGCGAGGGTTTCCAATGAGAGACGAGGAGAACTAGCGCCCTCTGATCACCGTGTCTCCACCCAACGTTGAAGGAGGCAACAATGGATCAACTATATAAGGGGCGCCCTGATGGGGATCGCGCTTGGCTTGAAGGACTGGGCACGAAGAATGATGAATGGCATTGTTGTGGCGGATATCAATATCATGGCGACAGGAGTGAACTTGCATCACTGTTGCTCCAAGGGGATTCTTGCTACACTACACTCTAAGGCGAAGGCGATGGAACAGGTTCATGGTCACCTCAACCGGCTCGGTCAGCGCGAGGCTGTGGTCTGGCACAACCTGAAAGTAAAGGACTCGTTTCACGATCACCAGGAAAGGGTTGTAATGACGGTCTTTCGACCGACACGGCCGCGGTTCAAACCGTCGCAACCGCGCTAGACCCTAACTTCGCCTTGGCGGCATCAGATTTCGCATTTGAGGTAGCTCAAAACAGGAGTAACTCAGCCTCGTCCTATGATCTCGAAGTTTTGGCCAACCCGGTGCAGATGGCGGAGTTTCTTGGACTTCCCGAAGAGTTAGGTCACAATGCAGAAACTCTCCACGATCATGTCCACGATACCCTCGTGAAGGAGTTGCATAAATTCGCTCACAATACCGACCCCTCGAAGCTCCGGAATCAGCAGCTTCAGCCAATCACCCCAATCCCAGACGATGCAATTGAAATTCTGATCGAGCACCTGAAGTCGCGTGCGAATATGCGATACGATGCTTTGCCAGACAGCTCAGCGCCAGGCTGGGGCCCTACCATCAGAAAAAAGAACGAACAGCTGGCATATGGCGAGGTATACCGCTGTAAGTGACATTGCGAAACAAAGATTACCAGCTATCGCCTAACACAGTTTACTTTCACAGATAATCCGGAGATGATTTGCTTGACACTTGCCCCGGTCCGAGAGTAAAGGATCAAGTTTGACCAGACGACAATGGCAGACGACGATCTTGCTTTGGGAGAACAGCTGCACACAAAGCCTCACCAAGGGCTCGTTGCTTCATCAAACGCAGGAGGATGAAATTCCCCGAGCTTACCTCCAAAACAGTTCCGAGTTACTATTTACAACATTAAGTTCTGTACAGTCAGACGATATGGAAGGAGAATATACAAGACAGGCCCTTCAGAGGAAGGACGGAAGCCATTGCATTACTGTTGCGTCGTTCGGGCATAGCATACAAAGTCAATACGAGCCTCAAGTGCGTGAACCCTTGGGAAGTTCCTTACCGGCCGGAAGACGTCGTTGTCAGCCATATGAGCGAATTGAACAACGATTACTCGGAATAGAACCAGGCAACAGATTGTGGCCTTTAGAAAAGCAGGGGGATGCCGCAGGCGGTGCCATGCGGTTCATTTACCAGGTCAAAACTCTTCTTCAGGCCGAACTGGACGCTCTTTGTTCTTTCTTCGGCACAGATCCAGCCTCTGTAAGGAGCAGGGATGGCTTCGTCATACGAGGCACAACGCAGACGCTCACTCTCCCCCAGCTTGTCTTCGTCTTCCAGTACATACAGAAGTTGCTTACTGTCCATACCCAGCCGCAGGACCAGGTCTCATCCGACGCAACGGGGCTCCTCCACAGTGACCAGTGGAGGAGAAACACCTATGGCATCCGTCGAAACGCAAATAAACAGCAAGAACTAGAGTATTACAGGTAGACTTTTACGAATATAGTTTGTCCCTTGCCAAGCTAAGCATCAAATGGACGATTACTTCTCAAAGTCTCTTGAGGGAGGTTTAAGTTGGTGGTTGAAGAAGGGACAAGCACGTTCCTCAACGAGGCATATGAGACCCCCTGCCAGGATATATTGTCACTCGCTGTCAGATGAGGAAGATTCATTTGCGGACTATGGAATTACCGAAACCTATTTATCGGATGTCTGGTGCCCGCCGGCATCCGGTCACAGTCGCCCGGAGGCTAGACAACGCCTCCGTTTGCTATCACGAACAATTGTTCTCGAACGTAGAGGATATGTAGAATGGTAGCCTACGACACGCCCCGTGATTTGCCATATCACACCGTTTCATCTACCGCTAGGCGTCACGGTGGACTACAAAGGCTATGGAAGAGGGTTGAACACTCAAGCAAAGGCGATCGCTCAGCTAGGACTCCCACTAGGACGCCATACAAGAGTTGGATTCCAGATGCAAAGATCGAAGCTACCCTTGACTCCATTCGCCTCCCAACTCAAGTTGTGGAAGTATTTTCTCAGCCCAGTTTCTCAGTTCAAAAGGGTACTCTGGCAACATCCCACTGCAACGAAGACTTGGCATCATTTTACACGCACCACTGGCTCGTCTTGGTCAGTAGAGTGTTAATCGATACAATATCAGATGTTCTGAATATTTGCACGACGGTGACTAGCAAGTATTTTGGGAACAGTCTTGATTTATGCTTGAGAAACAAAGTTTTCCATGTGTAATACCGCTGGACCGTTCCTACAACTCTTCAATCGCGGGCATCATACCCCTCTTGTCTGTGGCACGATGCGACTCTACTTATGGCTTGTTGCAGTACTCGAGTGCCCGACTACCGGTCAAAATTGAGCAGCAGCGAAACGCCATTCCGCCAGGCACACGCAGAGAGACAACGACACGCATATATTGGATGCACGCAACGACAACGTCTTATGGGATGAACAAAGTGGCGGGCAAGCATTGGATATTCGATAGGTCTTGGGTTTTTAACGTGGCTGGCCTGGCTGGCTATGGCGTCCATGCATGGCCTCACACGTTGCTTTCTACTACGGTTGTTCCCTTGCATTGACCGAGGCCGGGAAAGTTGTTGGTGATGCATCTAGTAATAGGGTAAATGGCAGACTTAGTAATGCGACGAATTGTAGTCAGCTTCATCATCTGCTTCCTACGAGCTCCGTGGCATATAGAGGGGTACCCGAGGCTGAGCTATAGGTTATTTATACAGAAACCTAATCATCTGAATACTTCGCGGAAACAACAAAAAGAGAAAACTGTGTGTAATTCAAGATATCGACATCACGAGGCAAGGCTAACGCGTACAGCGTTCAACATGTCGCTTCCTACACTCAACCACGTCTTCAACATGGCCATTACCCCCAAGGCCCCAGTCAACACCGGCGAAACCCCACGGGGAAAAGCCAACTGGTTCGAAATCACAGGCGGCAAAATCACCGGCGCCGACGGCCAACACATTGCCGACGTCCAAAGCGGAGGAGGAGACTACCTCACCCGCTACGTCGAGGACAATGTCGCCGAGGTCGACATGCGGCTCATTGCGCAGGACTCTGGTGGAAATCTCTTGCGCTTCACGGTCTCGGGGTATGATTACCTTGACAGAGCGACGATGCTGGCGTTGGATGGCAGGGCGGGTGATGAGGATGTGGGGAGCGGCAGCAGCAGCAGTTCTTCGGGGGATGCCGAGCCTTATGGGTTTGAGGTTCTGAAGTGCAATACGGCGAGTGACAAGTGGAGGTGGCTGAACTTTGCGGTTTTGCTTGCAAGGGTCAAGTTTGTTGTTGGGGATGCGGGCATTGAGAGTGTGGTTTATACTGTTTATGAGGTCACCAACTGAGTTGCAGTGGTGAATTGACATCCCTCCCTATTCAGAGGGGTTTATTAATGTAGGCGAAGCAATACTATAAACCGAGGTTTGATCGATACTTACAGGTCGGAACATTGCGAAGCAAGGAAGAGATGCCAGTTAGGTGGTTTGGAAAGGCTGAGTTTGAGGAGACAGGAAGTCCCATTGAGACTGAACAAGTCACAGAAGTTCGTACAGTGGAGAGATAGAAGTCCTCAAGGATTATGTGTTTAAACAAGGAACCCATAAGGCAACTTTCCAGCTTGCCTGCCGTCTCGTGCCTGTAGGCTGGGGCAATTCGCTGTGAACGTGCCGAAATCATTCTTACCCTAGCCGATCCATTACACAAGAAGTCCATTGTATACCAGTTCATGTACTCCGCATAAGTGAACCGTTCAAAATAGGTAAAGAATTTTGAAGAAGGTCCAGTCAACTGAGAAGAGTCCAAAAGGTACTCGCGCTACTACAAAAGACAAACGAGGCTGTATAATTCTCATACCACCATGTAGAATCGATGGTCACATTCAAGAGCTCCCTATAATGAGAGACAGGAACTTCATTCTTTCGTTTGTTTCCTAGTTGAAGGCCTAATGGAAGGCTTCAAGATAAGACCCTGTTTCAGATTTCTCTTCAATCTATATGCTGTCTCTGTTCATGGCCCTTGGATCTGGTGTGCATGAGACTGAGATCAACTGAAGCTGTTCTGGGCCTCAACTCTCTTACCCTCAGGACCGCCCCCAGCAACACTTCGTCATCGTGCTGAACAGACGTAGAGATTTGAGGTGTTGATCAAATGTATAAGCTGAAAACCACGAATTTACGAGGACTTTTCCCGTATGCTCTAGGATTCTTGTCCATTCACCGTCGCAACAACTTACAAACAACAGCACCCATGCCCTATATTGTAAGTTCCATTATGGAAGCGTGCGTCTTTGTAGAAGCTGTGGAGTGAACCCCCAGATTCGTAAGTTTCCATTACGTACAAAGTCCCAGCGCCGGCTGGGCTAATGCTTATCGGCTCCGGGACCCGCTTGTCCGGGGTGCGGCCCGGGGATGATGCCGCCGGCTATTGTTTCTTTAGCTGGCCGGTGGACAAACTCACGATATCTCAGGGCCTACTTCTACTGTAATAGCCTGTTGACATTGTCGTAATAGATATTTCTAAACGAATGATATCTTGGAGTCTTATTATAGCTCATGGACTACAAGTATCAAGTGAAATTGGACGAAGCCGAACGAGGTTGCCCCGAATCGGGTTATGGGAGAACCGGTGCTCCGGAACATACGTGGTATTAGCCCCTGACTACTTGGGACAGGATATTGGAAGGAATGGAGAGGAGATGTATAGAATTTGATACATGCGAGTGTACTTGATATTTGCGATTATACTTGGACGCCTAGATGTCACCATTGACCATCTCGCCTCGTTATTGGAAACGCGTATATATTGCCCTCAAGCCGTCCTTGCAGCATCATACACCTTCTTTCCCTTATACCACGTCTCCTGCACTTGCGCCTGAAGTAACGACTGCGGTGTCCATTCCATCTTGACCACCGCGAAATTTGCCTGTAATCCCTTCGCCAGGCTTCCGGTCCATCCTTCAGCAAAGCAAGAGTATGCGCTTCCACGAGTAGCACCCTGCATGGCCTGACATAGGGAGAGGGCAAACTCGGGATTCATAACGGTTTGATAATCCTGGTCACGTACAGATCGCCGAGTCGTCGCCGTGTAAAGGTTTCGCAGTACGTCCCAGGGCGCAGTGGGAGAGTCGGATCCGATCGAAATGTTGGCCCCGGAGGCTGCAAAATCGCCGTACGCAAATGCGCGCCCGCAGCGAGCCGTACCCATGAGTTCGGGCCAGGCTTTGAGGAGAACCGGATCAGCGTGAGCGGGCTGAATAGATGCCGTGATGCCAGCAGCGGCCAATCGGGCACCGTCTCCAGGGCTCGTCAGCTCAAGGTGCTCAATACGATGGCGACGACCTGGGGTCCCATGTTCTGACAGCGCGTCGATGGCGAGTTTCGCAGCGGCATCTCCAATCGCGTGAAGGGCGCACTGCAGACCGGCGCGGTCTGCTTTGCGGACAACCGCTCCAAGAGCTTCGGGAGTCCAGATGGGATCTGTCGTCATGCCTGTTGTCGAATAAGGCTCTATCAGAGCGGCCGTGCACGAATCAACAACGCCGTCGCACATGATTTTGATGCCCACGATACGAAAGTCTGGCGAGGTGGAAGCGTTAAACTGTTGACTCAAGGCGATTGCTCGAGTGAGTTCTTCTGAATCGCCATCTGTGGAATCCGTGGGACGGATGAGCCAGTGAGCCGCAATATGCAGAGGGAGCTGGCCACCCATTTCTGCGCGGAGAGTCTGCAATGCATCCCAGCCAATATCGTCCATGGCCATTTCTACACAGCCGGTGCAGCCAACGGCGTGGAGAGCTTGGAGTGCATCTCGCATCGCCCCAACTCGTTCCTCGGGCGAGGCAATCTGTGCTAAATGTGGCCATACGAGAAGTGTACACGCGGCTTCGCTGAGGAGGCCGAGTGCTTTGCCCTGGGCATCACGATGAATGGTCCCTCCAACGGGGTCGGGTGCTGATTCCAGTCCCATCTCCTTGATAGCTGTTGTGCTGCACCAACATGAATGCAGATCTCTCGAAACAATGTAGATGGGCCGCGGGTCTAGATCATCCAGCATGGAAACATCTGCCTTTCCATCCGTCATAAACTCCATCCAGCCGCCACACAGGATGCGAGGCGCGTCGGGGTGCGCTGCTGCGTAAGTCTTGATAGTCTCTCGGATCTCCGGCAGGCTCTGGCATCTTTCTAGGTTCAACCGCTGTAGGGACTGGCCTAGCAGGAGGGCATGTACGTGGCCGTCGATGAAGCCGGGGAGAACGTGGCTGCCATTAAGATCCCGTATTTCGGCACCCTTCGAAGCAGCTAGGGCTCGAATATCGGCATCGTCACTGCCGACATATTCGATCATGCCATTTTCGACGAGCATGCACCCGTCGAATCGAGCATCGTGCTCCTTTCCGTCGCCTTCCTGAGTTGTAAAAAACTTGCCGTTTGCGAACAGAGTGACCGCCATACTTTTTCTTTAATCCCCTTCTTTGCGGATGAACGCCTGAGATATAAATTCAGGATCCTCCATTCTCTCTCTCTGTCATGTCTGGACGGGTCTATTTGAAGACGTCCGTGGATACCAATGGACCCGGTTATCCATGGGGAGCCGTCGTGGATACCACCGTTGCTAGCAGCAGGACAGTATGCGATGAACTGTTAGCCCAGGCACATCTAGCTTGGCCGGCTGTCGATAGCTCGGGAACGGTGGGGTCAGAACGTTTGGTCTGCATTATCTTGTTCCTGGTTCGTCCGGTGCACTTCGTCCAAAGCCAGGGCAATCGTAGGCAATCGTCCTGCGTGATAGGAGGGTGTCCCGGTTGGGCCGTGTCTCATCAGACGGCGCGGGAGTGGGGGAGGGATAAACTCGAGATGGTGCCCATCGAGGTGGACGTGACTGGCCTCATGCCAGCCAGCCCATGTCGGATGAGTCAGGCTGACAGCTGGCCCTCTGCCTCTTATCTACCCCAGCGGCGCCCATCCTGCCCATGAGGCGATTGGGCTGACACATTTTCCCCAACTTTGCCCACATGCAACCAACTCGCCAACTTCCCACGCTCGCGTCTCCTGGTTGAGCCCCCCCCGTTGCGCTTGCGCCTCGCACAATGCTGCCAACCAAGGGGCCGATGAGGAGCAGGTCCAAAAGAGGCTGCTGGACGTGTCGCATCAGGCACCGAAAATGTGACGAGGGCCACCCCTTCTGCAAAGAGTGCGACAATCGCAACATCCACTGCCACGGCTATGGCCCCAGGCCCTCGTGGCTGGACGACGAGGAGCAGGTGCGCGCCGAGCTGTCGCTGGTCAAGAAGGCTGTCAAGCAGAACGCGAGGCTGCTGAACAAGGGTCCCGTCAGAGCCGCCGGGACAGACCCTCAGCTGCGGGCAATTTCATCCAAGCAGCAGCAGGAGCACGACACCGCCGTCCCCGGGCCCGAACAGGCCTTGTGGGCCTCATGCCCAAGTCAGGAAATGCGGTTCCGGGAGGCTGAGCTCATCATGCTGTACCTGGACTACATCTTCTACATCCAGTACCCGTACTACACTGATAACGCCGAGCTCGGCGGGCGTGGTTGGCTGTTCTGGCTGTTGATGAACAACCGTCCACTGCGGCAGGCGTCGCTAACCCTGGCCGCCCTGTACCAGCGGACCAAATTCGCGCGAGGCACCGAGTACATGGAGGCCGAGTTGATTGAGTACCACACCACCGCGCTGAGTGCCATGCGCCATGCCTTGTCAGGACAAGAAGGCGACCTGGCACTCGACGTCGGGGAGAGGCTCATCACCTTCATTTCTAGCGGCTGCTGTCTCATCAGTTTCGAGGTTCGTATGAGTGGAGATGTTTGAGATGATCGACAAGTGTGTGTGTGAATTGGCAATCCATCCTCCTAACTCTGGGCACATGATATCTAGGTGTTGCAAGGTGGCTCATTGAACTGGCAGACTCATCTTGATGCCCTCACGACCGTGGTCAGCAAGATCAAACTGCCGCCGTTCGACGACGGTGACCATGAGTCGCCGGCACAGCAGGGGCCCGGCGGCAGTGGCACTCTCTGGCGTGGGATGAAATATGCAAGACGCTTCGAAATCACCAAGCTGTTGTGGTTCGAGCTTCTTTCAACAGCCTCCACCGGGGTGCCCCCGCGTATGCCTTACCGGGCATGGCTCGACTCGGACGAGATTCTCATGGCGGACTTTGTGGGTTGCCAGAACTGGGTGATGCGAGTCATTGGCGACTTGTCCATGATCCAATTCGGCGGCGACTGTCCCGGTGTGGAACAAAGGCGAGAGACGCTGCTTGGCCTCGAGAAGATGTTACGCGAGGGCATTGAGAGACTGCGAGCAGGAAGCAGAAAGGTTTGTCATTTTCGAATCCCCCTTTTACCTGGTATCTCTCATGCTTCCCATATCGGTTCCCATCTTCGGTCTTGTGATTGATAGCTCTGCCATCGCGTTTGACGAAGCTGACAATTTGTATAGCCAGAAGCCCCCGTTTCATACTACATATCCCGAGTCTTTGCAGCCGGAGCCCTCGTTCTGCTGCACTTCATCTTCTCGAGCACCCACCCTTCCGAAGCCAATGTCTACGGCGCCGTTGGATCCGTCATGGCCGAACTTCGACAAGCTCCCGAAGACGTTTCGCTTCGAGGCGTGGTTTGGTCCATTTGCATCGCCGGGTCGTTGGCACAGCCCGATCAGCAGCCTTTTTTTGAGCACCTCATGACGCGGATCTTAAGCAAGTCGAACAAATCACATTCCAACTTTGGAAACTGCGAGAGCGTTCAACGCATCTTGAGGCAGTGCTGGACGAAGAGACACGAGGATCCTCTGGGTGACTGGTCGTGGAGAGACGCTATGGGAGACATTGGAGATTATCCGCTGTTAGTGTGAGTTGACAGCGATGGAGTTGATACGGCTGAATTGCTTCTGGAATGGTCCTTTTGGATATTTAGCGATGGAGTTGGGTAGATTCGAATTTTGTGCTGGTGTTTTTGCTGGGTTTATGTTTTGGAGGCCTTTGCTTTTACTTGTTTCAAAGTGCCGAGTTGGCAGGCGTTATCCAGACGTGCCATGTGACCTGACGCATATCGATAGCACGGACAGGGAAAGTGCCACCATAAACGCAGATTCCAGTCTCGTGGTGCGAACACTCATGCATTGTTTTTTTTTCTGTAGTCTATCATACCTACGTTCCAACAAGAATTAATGCGTCAACTCTAGAATATTCTCTCCCTTCTCGCACAGAGCAATCGTGATTGTCTCTATCCGTACCTTACTCGATAATACGCGTAGTCCAAAAATAAGCAAGTGCCGCCCCGTCAGAATTGCCCCAATAGGCTTTCGGTTCTTCGGCACGCTAGACCAAGATCAAGATCTCGCAGCTTCCAAGGAAAATTCATCTGGTCGGCTGCTCAGCTGCCGCTAAGCCGTCCCACGACGTCATTTCTGCGCATCAATCTTGCATCTGTTTCATGATCGTGGAGAATTGCAGCCAAGAGGACGAAGCCTATGAAAGCGCTGGCCTGGCCGCTCCTCGTGGCGAGCTCGTGCTGTCCCCCGTGGCGTCTGTCTGACAACACGCGAATTCAGCTCTGGGCTGGACACAGAATCGAACTACATACCTAGGCTCGACTGCGCCAATTCCGCCAGCGTTACCCGTGGTTCAAACATCGCCTTCGAACAGTTGCGCTGAATGGCCCATCACCTTCGATCGCTCAACCGAATCAAAGTCAAACTGGCCCAAAGAAGATCTGACAAAGCATATTTGTTTTGATGTCGAGATAATACACGTGTTTCCCCTCTCTTACAGAGAATGCCAGCGCGCAGCTTCACCGCCAGACATTGAACCAGAGCCGTATAAATGTCGCCACCACAGCGCGACGGACAAGATGGAGAGGCTCACGGGAACACCGACCCAGAGTCTCAACTCGACGAGAACTACGTTCACAGCAAGCCGAAGATAGACAACGACAAGGCTCATCTACAGCCTACGTAAGTACCCCAGTGGAAAGTGTTCGTCAAGGCCCCGGCACACATCTGCTAACGCTTGGCCATCCAGACGATGGTGGTTCCTCTCTTCTGTCTTCCCCATGGTTGCTGGTACGGTCGGCCCTGTAGCCTCGGCGTTCAGTATCTGTGCTTTGGTTTCGCCATGGCGGCAGAGGCTTGTTAACGCAGATCCCGACTCGGCCGTTTATGTCGGTGATCCAGTATGGTATGTCCCTACCTATTCAGACAGCCTGAAGACTTTCTCCAGCTGCGGCCCACGAGATATGTGACCCAAACGTTTCTGACCTTGCGAATTACAGGCTTACGGCAATCAACGCTGTGCAGCTGGCGATTGCCCTTATATCCAACTTGTTCCTACTCTTTAACATGGCAAGACGAATTCGTTTCGGCATAGCACAGCCTGTGACCATAGCCGGATGGTAAAAGCAAATGTTTCTTTCAACAGCCAGACACAGCATTGCTAATACTGCATCATTAGGTATTTCTCAGCCATTGTCTTGATTTGCCTGCTATGTACTGGTGCTGGACCTCTCCCTGAAGACATCGATTTCCCGGAGGACGATCTTATATGGTCCCAATCCTTCTATTACGGCATATGGGCAGCCATTCTCTACTTCATCATCGCAACCATCATGAGTATCACGTTTTGGGGAGCCTGTAAGGGCCATTACCCCAAGGACTTTATCCTCACTATGAGTCAACGCAGTCTCATGCTGCAGACCATCTCGCTTCTTCTATATCTTCACGTCGGGGCCCTCGTCTTCAGCAAGATCGAAGGATGGGGATACCTGGACGCTGTATACTGGGCAGACGTCACCCTCTTCACCGTTGGTTTCGGCGACTTCACTCCGACAACAAATCTCGGAAGGGCGCTGATGATTCCATATGCCATTGTCGGAGTCATAAGCCTAGGTTTGGTCATTGGGTCCGTTAGAAACTTGACAATGGATGGTGGCAAGCGCAGGGTTCTGGCACGTATGGAGGAAAAGAGGAGGAGGAGAACCCTTCGTACCATCGCACGAAGAGGGAACGACGACATTCTCAACCCCATCGATGATGAAACAGATTTGCCGCGCGAGCCAACGGACAAAAGCCTTACCAATGAATACGAGCGGCGCAAGGCAGAATTTGCTCTGATGCGGAAGATACAAGCCATGACGACCACACGAAGAAAATGGGCGGCTCTGGGCATATCTGTCGTGGTATGGGTGGTGTTTTGGATGGTGGGCGCTGTGGTCTTCATGCAAGCAGAAAAACGCTACCAAGACTGGTCGTACTTTGACGCCTTTTACTTCTGCTTCATCGCATGGACGACCATTGGCTATGGAGACTTTACCCCCGTATCCAATGCCGGAAAGTCTTTCTTTGTCTTCTGGTCTCTCATGGCGCTACCCACCATCACTGTGCTCATCTCTCATGCGGGTGACACAGTGGTGAAGATCATTCGAGACAGTACCATCCGATTGGGCAACGTCACCATTCTTCCCGGCGAAGAGGACTACATGGCGAGCTTTAAGCATCTCATCAGCAGAATGACGCTCGGCAAGTTTTTCCACGCCCATTATGAGACTGAAACCCCCTTAGTCATGGATTCGAAGAGACACCATCTTCAAAGGTTGGCTAGTGTGATGGAAGAGCTTAGTCAAGATAACCTCTCCGAAGAGGAGAGAGAAGAGATGGAAGAGTCTGAGAGAGAGGAGGAGGAAGAGCTGAGAGGCCGTCCAAAGCACCCGCGCCGTGCTTCGCAAGCATCAACCTTCACTGCCAAAGTTCGACGTTCGCTCTCTAAGCTTCGGAATGCAGAGCACAAGCTTCCCACCGGGGCCGACTTTCATTTCCTTCTCATCTCCGAGATTCGAGCTGTTGCTAAGAAGTTGAAGGAGTCCAAAACACATAGTTACAGCTTTGACGAATGGGCGTGGTACCTGAAGCTAATCGGCGAGGACGAGCACAACCCGCAAACGCATACCAAGCCCAAGGTGCTGGGGCACAACCCGGGCAGCGCAGAGGCCAGAGAATCGGCAGAGGCAGAGGCTGAGAAATGGTCGTGGGTTGGCCATAAGAATCCTTTGATGGGCAGTCAAGGGGAGAGCGAATGGATACTGGAGAAGCTTGTGGATAGGCTGCAGGAGTGTTTGGCGGCGGAGAGTCGACGGCAGAGGAAGAAGCATAAGGAACATTGAATCAGAAGATGATGGACTACTTTCTCTGCATATTTTGTAAGTTATTAGTGTACATGTACAATATTTGATAGCATACGATGTCAATGAACGATTGATTTGAAGCCTGGCAAGTCTTGATTCTCCTACAAAGCAGTAAGGTTGCTCCTTGGCTGCGCTCCTCGCAGACGGCAGCCGCTCTCGTGGCAATTCGATCAACGACTACGCCGCGGCGATTGACCCCAATATGCAAGGGGCTCGGTGCTCGTTTTCGTGATACGGTATTAAATTACGAACATCGCCTAGAGAGCACTTCTATTTATATATGGCTTGGTGGCTCACCTCACTAGAGGGCGATCAGAGCTCATCATCTTCGTCATGTGGGTTCGTTGGCCGTTGATCCTGGCTTAAGTTGCTTGAGGAGGTTTCTTCTCAACCCAGTCAAGTCAAGACTTCAACATGCAGAGCTCGAAATTTTGCAAACGCCAGCGGAAAGCGAGGAAGGCTTGTAAGCAGGTGACGCAAGACTGATTGACAAACTCCTGATGCCGTTATACAATTATTTCGTACGGCAACATCGACATCCGAGGGGCTTAGCATTTTGTGTGGCGTTAACAGTGTAGTTGACTGAGTAGCAGCAGCTATGCTGGCGGGTGTACATTATTCCTTTATGCTAGACAGTCTTGTGTTTCCATGCCGTGTCTGCGGATTGCATGGTTGGGGCGATGCCATCTGTATGTGCCTATATATAAGGCATTCTAGGGTTAGAATATTGAGCTGTATAGCATTGTAGGACTTAGATGACGCAGGTTACTTGTACTTACTCAACATCTATTCAGCAACGAATAGTTGAAAGGAGCGAACTGGGTCAACTGGTCAAGCAAGCCTTGGAGCAGACTTTCGTAACGTTGATTTAGATGTTTGGTAGGTACTTTACGTAGACGTAGGATTACCTATGACAAGATCATGCATTTGAAGTCAGCCATCCCAATGCTCCGCACAGAACGGAGCTAGAGAATTAAAGATATGTCTTGTCAAGATTCTAGGTGCGATTCGGATCGATTGATTGGGCCGCGATTTGGTGTGACTCGTTTACGATCGCATAGACTACCGTTCCACCGAGAGCCGCATACAAAGCTTACTTGACGACGGTTTACGCTGCACTAAGAAGCTGTAACAAGCAATTAATTCTCTTCTGAGAAAGGAACATACTACATACCTACGTAAGCTGTCAGTTAAGGTTAAGTTCCCATGTACACGTTGCACATGATACCTTATTTATAGCAGTCAGCTCCCACTTTTTGTCAGCTCTACCATAAGCCGTCGCCCTACAGAAACCCCTGTTCAAGTGGCTGAACTTCTCCTGACAACCTACATTGTTTCTACCCACTAGCATCGTTGTTTGTACGGGCCGCTCCATGCCTCCAGTCAGTTTCCTTCATTTCAGCCCAGATGCGGAGTAGCCCGCGCAAACAATTGCTTGCCAAAATCGGGCGAACCGAGATTAAAAGTCCTAAATGATCCTTTTCAGAGGATTCGAATATTCAGCCCTGGTGTGGTTCCCCCGGATCAGCTTGTGACTTGCCACATGAACAGAAGAGTGTGTAGCACGAAGTTGCTGATCGGGCTCTGAGCCACAAGGCTACCAACGGTGTCGAAGCATGCAAAAACTGGGAATCCACCGAATCCATGCAGTAGCTAGCCCGCGATTTACACGGATTTACGTCCAACATGAAGTTAGTTTTCAGCTGTGACTGGCACCCATCTTATAGCGGATGCCAACAACCATGCGAGTTGGCGGAAATCCGCAACCAAACAGGCAAAGCGGCGCTCCTTCGTGTCGACAGCCACTTGTATAAATAAACCACCAGTCGGTGAACAGCGTCATCATTATAAACTCTTCCAATCGAATGTTACAGACGGAAACAAAGCACCGACTTCTGGGATTAGGGTGGGTTGAGCAAGGCTTAGCTTTGCCCATTGCCCATGTCTGTCACCCTTTGCAGCGACTTTGTAATTTCAAGGTAGGAGTCACAGGCAAACGATCCCTCAGCCCTGGACAAATTCTCATGCGGCTCTGCTTCCTCCCAGACCCGTCAGCCCCCCCAAACAAGCAGCAGACAAGGCAAACTGCGGAGATTTTGTAGTGCCATCAGCGGATTTTTTGAATCCACTCCCACTCCCTCGGGACGTTGGATGCAGCCGTTACTTTACCCTTTTCACCTTGGATCAACTGTTGTCTATGCCTTACCGATGCTTGTAAGCCTAGTAGGGCATGCTGCTGTATTGATTTTTTGGCTCGCCTGGGGCCCCTCCGTCTTAGATTCCCACCCGGTCAGCACTAACATCGTAGTTCGACGGTCGACATTGGACCACCGAAACGAGGCACGGGAGACACTCTTCATATGGTATAAGACGTAGCTATAAGACTCTGATGTCTAGTTCTGCCGTTGGGCCATGTTGGACCTTCTCCCTCTTTATCCACTGCCGAATAGCAAACCGCGGTGAAAGCAAAAAGACTGTTATTTCGAAAAGTCAAAGATGGCAGTTTTTCCCGCGCTTTGCATCGCCCTCGGCGTGCTGATGGTCGATGCCGTCCTGGAGCTGGCTTTCATCACGAGCATGGTGGCATGGCTTCACAACACCGCCAGCGGCACCTTTGCCGTCAACTTCAACGGCTCGACATTCGATCTCTACGGCGAACCGAAGCATTTCCTCGTCGACCAAGGCCATTCGAGCAATGGCGCGGCAGGGACGGCAATCGTCCTGATTGGCTTCGGGGGCATTGTCACTCTTTGGCTGAGAAGCCGGCCCAGCATCCTCGGACCGAGACTCACGTCCTTGCTTTACGGCACCTGGCTCATTATTCTTGTCCTGGGCCTTATGCTTACCATCGGGTCTCTTGGCTATGTCTATGCCGTCACGAATGCGCACAATGGACAGACGATCGATGTGAAGATTGCCTCGATGACTGGCGACCACAAATATCCCGTCGATACGTGGACGCCACAGAATTGGTTTGCGGCTATGCTGAAGCTGGACCTTGCCGATGACAGCCAGAGGAGCGATATCGAGAACCACTTGCGGGTCATGCGCGGATGGCAGTACAACCTGATTCCTCTCTTCTTGATCCAGCTTACGACGACTGTTCTTGCTGGCTTGGAGTATCTGGAGAGACGAAAGCATCGACCTTCCGCGGGAGAGTATGGCAGCGTGGAGCGGAACAGCGGAGAGCAGAAGATTGTGGCAACTCCTTGACTCTAGGGTGTTGCTTTTTAGCATCTTGGAGATGCATTCTCGTACATATCTTCTTTTATCTGGCAATGGAGGCGTTTGCACTCTGGGATAAACGGGCTTTACACTTTATACACCTTATATTGTTATGGTATTACACGATTTGAGCGATGGTTCATTTTGGCGTGGGATATACTTCATTCGTTTATAACCTTAGAAAGCCTACACTATGCAAGTACCAATCCACCAACTTGCCATCTCTCATGGAAGAATCCACTTGAACTCTGTTGACTGCAATCATCTTGTGATCGTCGCTTTAGTGTCTCTAATTACCGACTACATGGCTTTCTCCTTCAAAGGGGAAGTGCTCATCATTACATGTAGTGGCTCTTTTGTCCCACACTTGTATAGTGGCAGAGCTTTCTGCTCTTGGAGCACCCAATGTGGAAGCAGACAGAAGCGGGCTCGTCGTTTACCTTGAATTGTGAATATGAAACCGAGCCATTATTCAGTTACTTTCCCCTTTAGACAGCAAGCCCGATTCGGCATGTGAGTATGATCCCATCTCTTACTGCGCACTGAACTACAATTAGCTCGTTCGGCACATGAAACCTCGACATCAACACCACGCCCTCAGACTTGTTTTCAATGGGCAAGTGGAATAGTCTTCTCATAAACCTCCTTAGAAATCTCTGGAGACCGAGAATTCTTGAACTTGAAGCTATTTGGACATCGTTGGCACAGGTCTCGCCAACTTTTGGCAAGGAAGAGACTCATGAGGCGAGGAACCAGCATGGGCTATTCCGAGAGCGAGGATATGATACTTCGACCGATACTGATAAGAGCTTGATGATATGTCAAAATACCACCAATAGTAAGCCGGAGACTTACGAATCAAATTCGGTTATTGCTCGTCATTCTAAGGATTAGTCTATGCCTCGTATTCTTTCTTGGACAAATCAGGACAACCCGTCAAGGCACCTCACCGTGTTAGCCGTGTGGGACGCTCGGATCCATGACAGATAGGCTACCGAATAGTCGTACAACAATGATCCGCTATCGTTTGAAACGAACGTCAATTCGGTCGATATACTGGGTAAATGCTGTCCGTGAAGAAATAAAGATCTATCAAACTCTATTGTGCCATACTTCCCATACTGATGCTCGGATAGCAGCGAATACATCCGTAACCCAAGATGTGCAACACCCTCAGATTGAGCACAGGAAATTATTGCCCTACAGCACCATGCTCCAACCGTGCCTTGTCAATTGCTGCCCGGCTTAGCCGGGTCAGTTCTTCGATGAAATAGTCCATTTTGCGTAGATATTCAAGCTCATGGGTCGTGACTCGATGGATGGGCATGCTTCGAATGACTTTCGTAGCCGATGCCAGCAGCTCTACGTCTTGGCATGCATACTCATGTTGAGGATTTCGCAGAATGTTAAAGAAGATGCTCAAAAGCGCAGATATAGGATAAAAAATGAAGACCCTAGCGTCTAATGTTAGAAGAGACAAACTATAAAAAGGGGGCTGAATCAGAGTAGGCCTTACCAGAACGCCTCACCAGCCAGTCGATGCGCAGTTTCCCTCAGATAGATGAGAGTTGAACGACTGGCCTCGACAGATAAGTCGAGACTGGACTGTAAGCCAAATATCATTTCCTTGCCAGACTCGCTCCAGTCTACCACACATCGGCCGCTGGCACAATGGATAATGTTCAATAGGTAGTGATAGTCCAGATGCAGCTCGATATGAAGCATGCTTGTGCTCTTATTCAGAGTGTCAGACAGCTTAACGTGCTTGCTGACGGATAGCACAGGGGCGTATTCTGGCGGTATCGATGCGCGCCAGTTTTCCAATTCCTCGTCCAGCTCACGGATGGTACGGAGAAGTTCTGCATCTGACTTGCGCAGGGACCCGGCAGAGTAGAGAGCACTGACAGTCTTTGACTTGAGGAGACTCAGCCGAAGATCACTCGGTAGAAATGGCCTTTGGGAAGCGCTCATTGCTGACAAGGCTTTGCTGGAGAAGCGGTTTTCCAGATACTCTTGAGGAAGCGTAAGATCGCAGAACTCGTCGCTTATGATAGGAGGTTGACCATTTCTCAGAGCCATATCCTTGTCAAACAGATAGCAAACCCAAAATAACATCCGGATTTGCCGCTCCACTAGCTCCTGAACCGTGAGTTTGCGATCTGTAGGGGATTCGCAGGCCAGCGTATGGCCTCCCAAGACGCAGACAGTACGACATGCTATGGCATGGTACATGGACGCTGCTTGCAAGTGACCGCATAGTGTCTCATTGAGGAGCTAGAATAAAAGTTAGATATCAATCGCAGAAGAAGTCATCATACCCGGTTTGGAAGACTCACAAGCATGACCATTACTTGCAGAGTCGTCAAGCTCGCATCCTCGACGAAGTCTGATATCATCAACTGCGCCCGTCTGGCACAAGCATCGGCGTCAAACGACTTGGCGATTTCCAGGTCGCGGAAATGATGGCCGGCGACAGACAGAAAAGCGAGCACGCACGCCTTGCTGCCAATGGCATGTATTGTCAGGTTATCGTCCGAAGAGTCATATGCCAAGCGTATGGTCTCCTCGAAAAGCTCACGGTCCACAACAGGGAAGATGAGACGGAATTCAGATTTTGTAAATTCATCAAGCAATGCCAACGTAATGCTTCTGTCGGGTAGTGTCTCAAGTTGAGTCTGCTTCATCTGCCCGTTGGGAAGCCTGAAGGGGGAGGCATAGGAGGGCGGCTGATCCGAGGGAGAGGCGATGTCCTCATTGTAAAACCGCGGCCATAATCCAGTTCGAGAGTAAATCCATTGTTCTCCCAGAGCAGTGAAATGTGGGATGCCATTCCGTGAGCAGACCGCCGCAAACTTTTGACCGGAGAACCAGACCTGGCCTAGGGGAGTGGCACCAAGCTGTCGAGACGAGGAAGACGACTGGGAGTGGCGGCAGATAGTGCACCGGCCGAGGGTGATCTTGCGCTGATAAATGCTAGAAGCATCGGGAGAAGCAACTGGAGAGGCAACTGGACATGGTGGTGCTGCGGGAGGCGCTATAGGAGGTGCCTGGGCGCTCTGCTTGATAGCTTTTGCTCTGGCAATGCCCTGCTCTATTCGCTCAAGGCGCTTGACAATGCTTTCCGTTGAGCTTCTGCCACAGCCGTCTTTGTCAGCGGGATATACGGAAGTCACACCACCAACCAAAGACAGTAACACAGCGCTACAAGGACTCACTTGGTCTTCTTCTTTCTGCCCCGAATCCGGTTAAGTGTGCAGGCCAGATTGTGGTGCCGGCACCAGTTGCATACCTGATCGGACTCGGATCGATCGCATTGGATCTAACACCATCCATGAGGTATCAGTGCATGATCTCGAGTGCATACGAAGCAAAAGTGCTAGTAGGGCCGAGGGTAGGCTGGAGGGGGGCAGAAGTCTGTCGATCAGAGAGGACGAGAGGAAGTGCGAGTAGAAGCGCAAACTGATCAAATGGAGACACAAGGAGACCAATCTCTCTCAGAGCTTTCAGGGAGACTCAAATGCTCGGCAATATAAGAGACAGGGGCACACTGAACGGAATCATAATCGCAGAACACCCTACCTTTCGCTTGTAGCAAGCGTCACAAGCACGTCGTTCCCCAACCATGTTCTGTTGCTGTAACCTCAACCGCTGGGTCTTGTCTTTGGATATTGGATTGTTTGAGAGATTCCTAATTCTGATGATACGGGACGAAGTTTGATGGCAACCGTACTTCGTACATGCATGAGGTATCAATTCTTGTTCGCAGCCGGAGGTTTTCGGAAATAGTTAACGCCTGCTCTGTCATTGATCTGAAAGCTGGAATAGCCTATCCGTAATACCATCTCACATGCCCGAAGATGCTGAGGCTCGGGGTTTCCAGCGCTGACTCAGCGGAGGTTTGACCAGACGAGCCTGTCCGACGCGGCGCTAAGAGACGCCGAGGTGGATCAGCCACGGTTTAGCCGGGCCCAGTAAATGCCGAGGCGACGCATGGCGTCAGACAAGATGGAAGAAACGAAGCAAAAACTGGGGCGGAGCCTGCCGGAGCTGGTGCATACGATAAGGCGTGTTGCTGTCGGGATCCTGCAAGGCAGTGGTGAGCTGGACAATTACTGATAATCCCTCCGAGGGGGATTCTGCGCTGTTTGCTGATACGGGCGCAGGAGATTTGCCCGAAGCGGCGCTGCTTGGTAATGCGGCTGCGGTGCTCCCTCTTGGTGGAGGTCACGGAGACTTTGGGGCTGGAGATGTGATGCAGATGGGGATAAGGAGAGGCGTTGATGCGCTTAGTCAAGGGCTGCAGAGTAAGGAAACCCGAAGTTGACGATAGGGGGCCTCAATGGCAACTGCTTCGTTGGCCGACACTCTCTATGCTAACGCTTGACGATGTGGGATAGCCCACCCGGCAACGACGAACGTTCAAACGTCCCGCGTTAGGCCAAAGCATGGCCGGATCACCAAATCGAGTCGTTATCTTCGACGAACCTCCAGCGGTAACTGCCCCTACTGGCATGAAGCATGTGCAAAGCAGCAGAGTTGCCTGCATCGTCGAATCATCTCAGCAAGCAGCCCAAAAGAGGAAAAGACGACCCGACCCCCCTCGGCATTATATACAGAGTAGCATTACATACGTCTGAGTGCCGAAAACATGTGCTCTAGTCCAGCAGCTCGGGCCTATCGTCGAGACTAATTCGGTATTACCAGCCATGTGGAAAGCAGCGAACTGCCGCCTGATCCTGGCGGGCACATGCGTCTCTTCGTGGGAATCGCAAAAGCCCTGACATTATCGACTTGTCAAATTGGGATCCAACCTCCCATGACTAAGCGGAACATTGACGTTGGCTCAAGGACGAGCGAAGGGCGGGAAGCCGGAGCGGGCGTCAGGGGGGAATTTAAGCTCGTGGGGTCCACTATCCGAATGCGAATAGCCACGGAGGTTTGGCTGATATGGCTCGCTCCGCCTCCGGTGTCTCTTGGCCGCGTGTACTGGGTCTCAGAAACTTTCCATGTCGAATCCTATTCCTGAGCCAGATCCTACGCCTCCATTGGTTGATTCCCATCACTCAATCCTTTCAGCTCCATCGTGGCCATGACTCTTCAGTTACAGATGAGCGCGGGCCCCGTCTCGGGCTCCTGGTCAGGGCCGAGATCCACTGAGTTGGCTCAATGTTTGCTTCTGACATGAGAGACGGCTGAGGCCAAAGCTTTTAAAGCGATGCCTTTCTCTTCGAGGCTACGTTCTTCTTCTGTTCTGCACCTTGTTTCCACCTCAAGACACACTTCTTCATCATCCTGCTTCCGTCCTTTCGTTGGTGGTATCTCGCCACTAACACGGACCTGGCATCATCATGAAGTCCACCTACGACGACACCCTCACGGACCTCAACATGTCTGATGCAGGTAAAGACTCCGTCGACAATACTTGGTCTATGAAGCAAGATGTTGTTGCCTTCCATGAGCGCGACAAGGCTTCGGGCTTTCCACCTCGAGAACTCGGCGTCACCTTCCAGAATCTTACAGTGGAGGGTGTCCGTGCCGATGCAGCCATCCACGAAAACGTCGTCTCTCAGTTCAACATCCCCAAGTTGATCAAAGAATCTCGACAGAAGCCGCCTATGAGAAAGATCCTCGACAATGTCCATGGATGCGTCAAGCCAGGCGAGATGCTCCTCGTCCTCGGCCGTCCAGGAAGTGGATGCACAACGCTTCTCAACATGCTGGCTAATAAACGGACTGGTTATGCCAAGGTCTCGGGCGATGTTTCGTTCGGATCGATGAAGGCAGAGGAGGCAAAGCGATACCGGGGCCAGATCATCATGAACACAGAGGAAGAAATCTTCTTTCCGTCTCTCACTGTGGGCCAGACCATGGACTTTGCGACAAGACTAAAAGTCCCTTACACATTGCCCAACGGCATCACGAGCCAAGAAGAAATCCGTCAAGAGTCCCGCAACTTTCTGCTCAAGTCTATGGGCATCGAGCACACAGAAGACACCAAGGTCGGCAACGCATTCGTCAGGGGTGTCTCCGGTGGAGAGAGAAAGCGAGTATCCATCATTGAGTGCCTCGCAACTCGAGGCAGTATCTTCTGTTGGGATAACTCGACTCGTGGTCTGGATGCTAGCACGTAAGGAGTCCACATCTCATAATACTTGAAGACTGTTTCGCTAACATGATTCTATTAGTGCTCTGGAATGGGCCAAGGCGGTTCGAGCCATGACAGATGTCCTCGGCTTAGCCTCGATAGTCACTTTATACCAGGCTGGCAACGGCATCTACAACCTCTTCGACAAGGTCCTCGTTCTCGACGAGGGCAAAGAAATCTACTACGGCCCCATGCGCGAGGCTCGCCCGTTCATGGAGAACTTGGGTTTCATCTGCGGCGACGGCGCGAACGTGGCTGACTTCCTCACTGGTGTTACCGTACCCACCGAGAGAAAGGTCCGAGACGAGATGAAGTTCAAGTTTCCTCGGACGGCTGCCGCCATCCGCGAGGAGTACGAAAAGACACCAATCTTTGAACAAGCAAAAGCCGAATACAACTATCCGACCACAACAGAGGCTCAGACCAAGACCAAACAGTTTCAAGAGGGAGTGGCCCAGGAAAAATACAAAGGACTGCCGGCCTCGAGCTCATTTACCGTCAGCTTCGGCGTCCAGGTACAGACTTGCATCAAGCGACAATACCAGATCATCTGGGGTGACAAGGCCACCTTCTTCATCAAGCAGTTTTCGACCATTGTGCAGGCCCTCATCGCTGGTTCGCTCTTCTACAATGCCCCCGACACTACTGCTGGGCTGTTTGTCAAGTCTGGAGCCTGCTTCTTCGCTTTGCTCTTCAACGCCTTGCTCTCCATGTCGGAGGTTACCGAGTCCTTTATGGGACGACCTGTTCTGGTCAAGCACAAGTCGTTTGCCTTTTTCCATCCTGCCGCCTTTTGCATTGCCCAGATTACGGCTGATATCCCCGTCATCTTGGTTCAGGTCTCAGGCTTCTCTCTAATCCTCTACTTCATGGTTGGTTTGACAGCGACTGCAGGCCACTTCTTTACCTTTTGGGTTGTCGTTGTGTCCACCACATTCTGTATGACGGCCATGTTCAGAGCCATAGGCGCCGCGTTCAGAACCTTTGATGGCGCTTCCAAGGTCTCAGGTCTGATCATTGCTGCTACTGTCATGTACAATGGTTACATGATTCAAAAGCCGCGCATGCATCCGTGGTTCGTCTGGCTTTTCTGGATTGACCCGATGGCGTACGGTTTTGATGCCATTCTCTCCAATGAGTTCCACGGCAAGAGGATTCCTTGCGTCGGCACCAACCTTGTCCCCAATGGTCCGGGCTTCAACGATCCTGGTGCTCAGGCTTGCGCTGGCGTGGGCGGTGCCGTTCCGGGGCAGACTTACGTCGACGGTGATCTGTATCTCGAATCGCTTTCTTACAGCCACTCTCATGTTTGGCGAAACTTTGGCATCATCTGGGCGTGGTGGGCTCTATTTGTGGCCATCACTGTTATCTTCACGACCAGGTGGAAGAACTCATCGGAAAATGGACCCAGTCTGGTCATTCCCCGAGAGCTATCCAAACTCGTCCCTGCTCTACGCCAGGCGGACGAGGAAGGCCAAGTCTCAGAAAAGGATGATGCCAACGTCGGCAACCAGTCTGACGGCGTCTCTACCGACGACACCGCAGTGGCAGTCCAGGGCAACCTCATTCGGAACTCCTCGGTCTTCACTTGGAAGAACCTGTGCTATACAGTCAAGACCCCGTCTGGTGATCGTCTTCTTTTGGACAACGTTCAAGGATGGGTAAAACCTGGAAACCTGACGGCTTTGATGGGATCATCTGGCGCTGGAAAGACGACTCTCCTTGATGTGCTCGCCCAGCGAAAGACTGAAGGCACCATTCGCGGCTCCATCCTTGTTGACGGTCGACCGCTACCGGTCTCTTTCCAGCGATCTGCGGGTTACTGCGAGCAGCTTGATGTGCATGAGTCCTATGCTACGGTGCGAGAGGCACTCGAGTTCTCGGCTCTGCTCCGACAAAGCCGCGACACGCCGCGTGAGGAGAAGCTGGCTTATGTCAACACGATTATCGACCTCCTGGAACTTCACGACATTGCAGACACACTGATTGGTGAAGTTGGTGCCGGCTTGAGCGTCGAGCAGCGCAAACGTGTCACGATTGGCGTCGAGCTCGTCTCCAAGCCTAGCATTCTGATCTTCCTCGATGAGCCCACTTCCGGTTTAGATGGCCAGTCTGCCTATCACACCGTCCGTTTCTTGCGAAAGCTGGCCGCCGTTGGCCAGGCTGTCCTGGTAACGATTCACCAGCCTTCCGCCCAACTGTTTGCCCAATTCGATACCCTTTTGTTGCTCGCCAAGGGCGGCAAGACTGTTTACTTTGGCGAAATCGGTGATCAAGCCAGCGTCGTCAAGGACTACTTTGCTCGCTACGATGCCCCATGCCCCTCTGGGGTCAACCCTGCTGAGCACATGATCGACGTCGTCTCTGGACAGCTTTCTCAAGGCAAGGACTGGAATGAGGTTTGGCTGTCATCGCCCGAATATGCCAACATGACCAAGGAGCTTGACCAAATCATCAGCGAGGCTGCGTCCAAGCCTCCTGGCACGGTGGACGATGGCCACGAGTTCGCCACGTCGCTTTGGGAGCAGACCAAGCTTGTAACTCACCGCATGAACGTCAGCTTGTTCCGCAACGCCGACTACGTCAACAACAAGTTTGCGCTGCACATCTTCTCGGCTCTCTTCAACGGCTTCAGCTTCTGGATGATCAAGGACTCTGTCGGCGATCTGCAGCTGAAGCTCTTCACCATCTTCAACTTCATCTTTGTTGCACCCGGTGTCCTTGCCCAGCTGCAGCCCCTCTTCATCCACCGCCGTGACATATTCGAGACGCGCGAGAAGAAGTCCAAGATGTACTCATGGGTGGCCTTTGTGACGGCACTCATTGTCTCGGAGATTCCGTACCTCATCATCTGCGCCGTTCTCTACTTTGTGTGCTGGTACTACACCGTCGGCTTCTCTGGCGACTCCCACCGGGCCGGAGCGACCTTCTTCGTCATGCTCATGTATGAGTTCCTCTACACCGGTATGGGCCAGTTCATTGCCGCGTACGCGCCGAACGAGGTCTTTGCCGTGTTGGCAAACCCTCTCGTGCTTGGAACCCTCATCTCTTTCTGCGGTGTGTTGGTTCCTTATGCGCAGATTCAAGCATTCTGGCGATACTGGATCTACTGGCTGAACCCCTTCAACTATCTCATGGGCAGCATGTTGGTCTTTGACATCTGGGGCCACGACATCAAGTGCTCTCCGCATGAGTTTGCCACCTTCAATCCTCCCAATGGCACGACCTGCGGTCATTATCTGGAGAGCTACCTTGCGGCAGGACCTGGCGCTGTGGCCAATCTGATCAACCCCGATGCCACGTCCAACTGCCAAGTCTGCTCCTACAGCAAGGGCGAGGACTATCTTCGCACTCTGAATTTGAAGGAGTATTACTATGGCTGGCGGGATGCTGGTATTGTTGTGCTGATGGTGTTGAGCTCGTACTCTCTGGTGTACCTGTTGATGAAGCTCCGTACCAAGATGTCAAAGAAGGCCGAGTAAGGGGTGATGCATCTTGGAGCAATCTCTATTTAACTCGCATTTCATGGCGAAAGTCATGCTTGTCTCTCATCTGGAGGCGTTTTCACATTTCCTCTCTTCGCGACTCAAATCCTAGATAGAATGGGATATATACAGGTTTATTTGGGCATTACATGTTAGAACTTTTTTTTAGAGCAATTGCTGGGGCGTGGCGAAGTCGCGAATGAAAGCTTTCTTACGAATTCATGGTTTATTGAGTTACAGACAAGTATCATAGCATAGGACTTGGTCGACATTTAATTATAGACATCTTTACATCACACAGACAGTAATTCTATCTATATGTACTTTGAATTGCAGCGCATTCAGATGTAAATGCTAGCGCATCATTCATTCATGCCATCATCAGCGTCAGTGCTTCTCATGCTCTTGTTCCATTCACGTGCTTAGTCCTGAGTATCATCGAATGATGCATCACGCCAAACATATCCAACGGCCGCACGACTTCGAAACCAGCGGCCTCGTAGAGCGGCCTTCCTTGTGGCGTGGCCATGAGATAGCAGTCTCTGCCGGCTTTTGTGGCTTGCTCAACGCCCCATGATAGAAGAGCCTTGCCGATTCCTTTGCGTTGGTGTTTTGGGTCGACGCCGATGAAGTCGAGGTCTATTGCACATCAGTCAAGGTCTTCATGAAGCATCCTTGTTGTACATTGTCATGAAGGGAATGCAAAGAAGAAGGAGGGTAATAGTGCTGGAACGGAAGAAACACACGCCAAACGTCCTTAAGCTCTCTATCCCCAAAAGTAGCTCGACAATCCTCCTTCAGGATAGCCTGAAGCTCTGCATACGCCTTCAAGTCAGTGACAGCGGCCGGCAACTCAGCTTCAGCAGCGGTAACCATCTGCTGCTGCTGCTTCGTCTCTTCATCCCCAGCCGGAAGATCCCACAGCGCAAACCCGACGATCTGGTTATCCGGAGCCGAAGTATCAATCGCTACTATTGAAGCGGTGTTTGGGCTGCGAAGAATCGCAGTTTTTCTCGAAATGCGCCATGGCAGTGCGGCTTCGCCGTCGGGGATGTTGTTTGGTTGGAGGTGGAGGGGGAAGATTTGGCGGGTGAGCCAGTCGGTTGTGGGATGGAATGCTCTGCCGGCGAGGGCGGCGATGTGGGGGATGTCTTGCTCTGTTGCTTTTCTTATTACGATTGCCATCTTGAATGACTCTTTTTCATAACGGGTTCTTTATCAACTTAGTCTAGTAGGAGCAAAGATCAATCAAGTCAGAGAAGCATTGTGTTTTGGTTTTATACTAAAGCTACATGGACCTTATGATTTCAGCCTCGTGGGATGCGTACCGGACAGATGGATTACGAGTCCCACGCGCAATTGCTTGCGAGTTCCTGAATTGATACGCATCGCCGAACTCCGGTGCTGCATCCTGCCAAACATCAAGCTAAAAAAGTTCGCCGAACTGATGCTTGCTCGTTGTATACTGCATGCGAAGTGGGCCGGGTGAAAGGAGGGGGGGAAGTTCGATGTAAGTCGGGCAACTTCTTTAGCAGGATTACGTGGAACTTGGAGCTGCATTATGCAGGTCAAGGTCCATCTAGCTTTTCTGTCCAAGGGCGGCCTTTCGACCATTACGGAGTTGCGATTTGCATTTCATTTGAAAGGTCCCGGATGAACCGCTGAAAGGCACCAGCTGAGAGGCATTTGCGCCCTGTTGAGCGATAATTGCCGGGGTAGATTGACAACATTGAACCCAGAGACCGTCAACTCTGTTCAACAACTCCTTGTCAACTGCAGAGGACCAGTGTCAAAGAAATCATCAACCCCAACAACTCTTACATGGATACCAAAGAGAAGGAAATGCAACTCCAAGACTCGCAATACCTTGGGACCGCATACGTCCAGGGCGCCGCCTCCGGCCCCCTCATCGCAAGCAACCTCGAGCTGAGCTTCTGGGGCGGCGTCGACCCGCAGACAAGCCAAGTTATAGACCGGCACCACCCATTGAGCGGAAAGTACATTCAGGGCGCGATTCTGGCGATTCCCGGTGGTCGCGGCTCTTGTTCCGGCAGTGGGGTTTTGCTAGAGCTTCTGCTGAGCGGCAAGGGGCCCAAGGCGCTGATATTCTCGAGAAGGGAGGACATTCTGACGCTGGGGGTTGTAGTTGCGGAGGAGATCTTTCGCAAGTCCATCCCAGTGGTTGTACTGGAGGCGGAGGAGTTTGCAGAGTTGCTGGATGCTCGCTATGTGCTTGTGAATGGGAGCACGGTTTCGACATTACAGACTGGTGATGCGATGCGCAGCTTTGAGGGCGTTTCCACAGAGCCTCTAGACACATCACTTGGTTTTGAGATCGAGTTGTCCGACCAAGACCATGCATTTCTGAACGGAGCACATGGCCGAGCTTCTCAAGCTGCTATGCGCATCATCTTACGCATGGCCGCCATGGAGGGAGCCCGCAAGTTGATAGACATCACCCAGGTCCACATCGACGGCTGTGTCTACACGGGACCGGCATCACTCAGCTTCGCAGAAACGCTACGTGACTGGGGCGGCAAGGTTGTCGTTCCCACCACCCTCAACTCTATTTCCGTCGACCAACGGCGCTGGCGAGCTCAAGGCGTGCCATCGGTCTTTGGTGAGGCGGCAGAGAAGCTGGCGACGGCTTACACGGACATGGGAGCGCTGCCGACATACACTTGCGCTCCGTATCTGCTCTCCGGCGCACCCAAACGGGGGGATCAAGTAGCGTGGGCCGAGTCGAATGCCGTGGTGTATGCGAATAGCGTGCTTGGGTCCAGGACGATGAAGTATCCGGACTTTCTCGACATATGCATTGCTTTGACGGGGCGGGCGCCTCAAGGGGGCTTGCATATTGAGAGGAACAGGCTGGCTTCGCTTTGTGTGGAGGTGCCTATCCTTCGAGAAGCTGATATTGACGATTCCTTTTATCCGTTGCTAGGATATCATGTTGGCGGGATAGCAGGGAGTCGCATACCTGTTGTTGTAGGACTTGAGGCTCTGCGCCCTTCGACGGATGATCTCAAGGCATTTGGGGCTGCATTTGCGACTATGGCGAGCGCACCGATGTTTCATATTGTGGGCGTGACGCCAGAAGCTGCAACGCTGCAAGACGCGATAGGGGAGAGAGAAGACGTGGAAATGATTCGTTCCAACTTGAGGCAACTTGAACCAGTGTGGAAGACCCTGAACACTGCAGATGACGATTCGCCTGTTGATCTCATCTCTCTCGGAAACCCCCATTTCTCAATCGCCGAAATGAGAAGACTTGCGAATCTTTGTCGGGGCCGGACAAAGCGTGATGGAGTTGCTGTCATGGTGACATGCGGAAGGACTACATACGGTCTGGCAAATCAAGCAGGGCTCATCAATGAACTGCATCAGTTCGGGGTAGAGGTCATTACTGACACTTGTTGGTGCATGATTGGGGAGCCAGTGATTCCGAGGACTTCGAGAACGGTCATGACGAATTCTGCAAAGTATGCTCATTATGGGCCGGGGCTTACGGGGAAGGGGTTTTATTTTGGGAGTCTTGAGAGGTGTGTTGATGCGGCTTGTGATGGGTATTATGATAAAGGGGCGCCTGCGTTCATTGGGAGAGGTGGAATTGAAGGAGAAGATGGGAGGTGACTTTTATGACATGGATATAGAATAACCGGCTCGGTGGGGTAGCTCCTCTATGGACATTGCCTGAAGCAATATATCTCCTGGTCCGTGAACCTCTTACTCGATTTTCACGACCCTTTTATACCATTCAATGGTAAAAGATTTGATGCCCGTGTTGCTACTCAAGAGATCAAATGTCGTCTCAAAGATGTCCGAGTTGCTAAAGAGGATCGATGTGCTCAATGAAGCATCTTTCACACAATCGCTAATCGCAGCCATCTCAGTCCCTTCCGCTACTACATGCTTCTCCAGCCTCCTTGCCAACTGCTCCTTGTCCTCGTCAAAGCCTTGAGCAATCGAGAGTACTGACTCTCAACAGCAGATGCATGTAAGCTATTGGAAAGATGCGTGATAACTCTTTTCCGTAATGATAGATTCGATGGCAAGGTTGCAAACACAGACACGTGGCCGTGAGAGATGCACTTCGTTGCGGTGAAGATATAGACTCGTGTCGTGATGCCTGATAGGTTCAATGGCCAAGACACTACTTGGAAGACTGGAGTTGATGGTTTTCTGACATCCAATGTACATGTATTGAGGGTCTACAAGCCATGTAAGCTCTCACAATCAATGATGACAATGAAGCTCTCGTTTCATGTGCATGAATGGCGGAAGGTATTCCTTGTAAGTTCTGCGCAAGATGCGTTATACGCGCTAAATCTGGATGCCAGATGAGATCTGAGATCATCCTGGTGCAGCATGAATGAAGTACATGGGACTCCTATAATGCCAGATATGAGCAGCGCGATACATGTAAGTTGGAACACAATGAGATGGTTCCTAGAACCTCCACGTAGGCTCATAGCTATACCCTCGTCCGAGATAGATGCATATTAAAGCCTTATAAGACAATATGAGTGAGCCTTACAGCAGGTCCATCAAAATAACGCAGTCAATGAGCGATACCATTGATCAATGATGCTACATCCGCAAGCGCTCATATACTCAACCTACCTACAGATATACATGCAGCGTACATTGGAAGCACATTGAATCACACCCCTCGTCTCGGTAACACATATATAGATCATCAACCGTTTACAGCATGACTCAAGGACTTCCACAGGAGGAATTTGATGTCGAGAACTACCCCGAACTACTCATCAATCATGACCCTTGTGTCGTTGTACATGTGCAACATGAACCCGTCTGTCTCCCTCATGAGGCACAAACGCATGTGTGCCATGATGGACGCAAATGATGGCATCGCCACAGGCCCACCAGCGCCGCGATACGGGAGTGATACAGGGGTGATACAGGGCACTAGCGCTGGGCTTTAGCGGCTGCTACCCCGCAGCGCCCCTGCAGACGGGGAACTTTTGGCGCTCTAGTGGTGCTGCGGCGGCGCTGCTGATAGGCTACAGCCACAGCGAGAGTGCGGCATCGCCCGGGGTACCGCAGCCAGAGGCACCCGCTTCGGGGTTGACTTGTGCTATCTCGGAGCTCGAACTCGTCGATATCTGCTCGATTCATCTCTCGACCTTGCACAACCGCAGTCGACTATCTACCTATCGCTGAGATGCTCCATCCATCCATGTAGGTGATAGACAAGTCGTTGAGGTTATCAGCCCCTCTCTCTGCCCTTCTTCCTCTCCTCTCCCTCTCCCTCTTTCCCTCTCCTTCGTCCCTTCTTTCATCAGCCATCTCCTCCTCCTCCTCCTCCATCGAGATGCGCGGACTGGGAAACACAATGGACGAAAAGGCTCGTCTTCCTCCCTACAGCGCCTCCGGGCTGCCGCTGCCAGCTTCTGGAGCAGCGCATGTCCGCGGTCGGCGCGCTGCATTTCGCCGGTCCCGCGTGTTGAAGCTCTTCGGAGCCACCTGTCTAACGCTTCTGGTGGTCGGCCAGTGGACGCAGATATGGCGGGACGATGCCAAAGCGCCGCTGCTGTCGCTGGACAAGCTCAACAACGACCTGCAAATCTGCCAGAAGCTCAGGCACAAGCCGCAGGATCCCATCGGGCTGGGACGAGACAAAAACGCCAGATGGATTCCCGGCAGCCAGCCAACGCTCATTAAGAACGCGACCATCTGGATCGGCGAGCCTGTCGAGGGCACGAGCGAGGCGGACGCCAGGGCTGGCAAGGGCTGGGAATGGATCCAGGGCGATGTGCTGCTCGAGCACGGCCTGATCAAACGGGTCGAAAGCCACATCTCGTCTCAGTCGCTGCCCAAAGACACCCAGATCTTCGATGCCGCGGGACGCCAGCTGACGACGGGCATCATTGACATGCACAGCCATGCCGGCGTCGACTCTCTGCCATTCCTCAGGGGCTACGCCGACACCAACGAGGTCTCCGACGATATCACGCCCTGGGCACGATCCATTGATGCCATCAACACGTTTGATCCTCAGATTGAAGTCATCAAGTCCGGCGGCGTCACCACTTCCCTCATTCTTCCCGGCTCTGGCAACAGCATGGGCGGTGAGGCATTCACTATCAAGCACGCTGTTGGTCCCAAAAACGGCCGCACCGAGATCAGTGCACAGGACCTGCTGGCCGATCCGGACCGCAATTGGCGGTTCATGAAGATGGCCTGCGGCGAGAACCCCAAGAGGGTGCACGGAGGCGTCGACAAACGGCCTTTCAGCCGTATGGGCGAGAGCTTCAACTTCAGACATGCCTTTGAGCAGGCCCGAGCCTTGATCCAGCGCCAGGACGACTGGTGTGACAAGGCCGATGCCGTGGGCGTGGAGAATATGGAAGAGTACTTGCCGCAGGAGATCTTCTGGGAGTCCCTTGCCGCGGCTCTTCGCGGCCAGGTTCACATCAACACTCACTGCTACACCGTTACCGATCTCGAGGCCATGGTTGATCACACCAACGAGTTTAAGTTTCCTATTCGAGCTTTCCACCATGCTCACCAAACTTACCTTGCTACTGAGGTATGCCGTTTCGAGCAGTGACCACTTCGATACGTTGAACCTAACGTGATGTTACAGATCCTGAAACGAACCTATGGAGGCCGGCCACCCGCCTCTGCCCTGTTTGCGGACAACATGTACTACAAGACCGAATCCTATATCGCGTCTGAGCATGCTGCTAAGTACCTCTATGATGCCAACCTGACGACTGTGTTCGTCAGCGACAACCCCGTCCTCAACGCTCAACACGTCCTCTTTGAGGCTGCCAAGGGGTACCATTACGGGCTGCCGTACCATGCCGCTCTCTCTGCCGTCACCAGCCTTCCTGCAGAACTGCTCGGTTTCGGGAACCGACTCGGGAAAGTCAAGCCTGGTTTTGATGCTGATATCGTAGTTTGGGACAGCGACCCTCTCAGCGTCGGAGCTGCGCCCGTTCAGGTGTGGATAGATGGCACCGCCCAGTTCGAAAGCCCCGTGGAGCTTCAGAAGCCCAAGACGGGCCCCATTGTGCCCGATGAGGCGCTGGCCAATATCATCGAAGAGCCTACTGAGATTCAAGACGTCGTCTTCCATGGCATCACCAAGGTTCTCTTGGCGGACGATCAAGCTTCCGAGTCCAACGGCGAACCTGTGGATGTCTTTGTCTCTCGAGGCAAGATTGCCTGCATCGGCCCATGCAGTTATGAATACGAGGCGGCTGCCAAAGCTGCCAAGGTACATGTTCAACTGAGCAATGGCTATCTAACCAACTCCTTCACAGGCGTGGCTGGCACCATTGGATTGAACGATATCGATGGAGAAGATGTTACAGACAACGGACCCAATCCAGTCGCTTTCTCTCGTGCTGTCGACGGCCTCCGACTGGATAGCAAGAAGCTCAATGTTGCGGCCAAATACGGCGTTACCAAGGCCATTTCGGCACCAAAATACCTGAACGGCAAATCTCACCACGGCGTCAGCGTTGGCTTCCTCACCGCAGCCAAGACGGTCGCCGAAAAGGGCGCCGTGTTTGACTCTGACGTGGCCGTGCACTACACCCTCGACCTCAGCTCTCGCAACGTGGGCAGCTATTCCGAACTGTTTGGCCTGCTGCGGCGCAAGCTTCTGGCGGCTGCTTCTCAGGACAAACCAGCCGAGGACCCCTATTCTGAGGTGGCCTACCTGCAAAAGGTAGTTGCCGGGGAAAGTGTCTTGGCCTTGACCATTGACAACGCAGATGGCATCGCTACTGCGTTACGAATCAAGGCCGAAGTCGAAGAAGCGACAAGCTCCAAGATCAAGCTCGCCATCCTCGGCGGCTCAGAATCTCATCTTGTCGCGGCAGAGCTCGCCGCCGCAAAGGTGGGAGTCATCCTGCTCCCTCTTCAAGCGCATCCGAACAACTGGGACCAGCGCCGCTCACTGCCGGGCGCACCGTTGTCGAATGGCACGACGATTGACTACCTGCTCGATGCCGGCGTCACAGTGGCAATCGGCTTGCCCGAGGATTGGGTTGTGCGCGACCTGGGCTTTGAAGCCGGCACAGCCTATCACAACGGCAACGGACGACTGAGCGAGAAGACGGCACTGGATCTCGTCAGCGTAAACGTGCACAAGATTCTGGGAGGCAAGCTCCCAGAGGCGCAGGCAAAGGGGCATTTCATTGTCAGCGAGGGAAGTCCCCTGGAGATTGGATCGCGGATCAAGGCCGTCGGTGCTGGACGGGACAAGGTGGCTGTATTCCAGTAGGCGAATGTAGTAGTGATGCTTGCCACATGATGTGGGATACCGCTCTCGATTCCCATAGCCCCTTTTACGTGCTTACCTGTGCTCTTTGACCAAATATTCAATCTGATAAGCAGATGACCAAGGCCATCCAGCAACAAATGCCGTTTTCCCCGGTAGCCTATAGTCTAGTATGCTTACTCTTTGCAAGCCAGACATTGGATATTCCACAATGATCTTCCGCTTGGGTGACGCCATCTCAGCACTACAAATTGCCGGTCCGCCCAACCCTAAACGCAACTTAACGGCATCCAAGTGGGATTCGGAGCTCCGACGCGCGGCTATTCCCCAGCGCGCGCGGTATTCGACAAGCCTCTATCTGATGATTGGTCGAACGGCACATCCCACCTATAGCAAGCGAGGCTTTCCGTCATCCCGCACTGCTTCAAGTCTGTCAAAGAGCTCGCAATAGAAGCGGGTCCAGGCGCGAAGAAGCGACAACTAGATAGAAGCAACACAAGCAACAAACAATTGTCACTTCTTATTTGTCCGAAAAGCCCGTCTGTTGAATTGGAATTGCCGAAGTTCTTCGAGGAACGCGGCACTTCACGCCGCACGGAATTCTTCTTACCACTTTCCGAACTCTCGAGTCAAATCGGGGGGCCCAGAAAACAGGATATTAAAACAGCCAAGAGTCCCGGAAGCAAATATTGGATGCTTTCATGAGCTCACACTAAAGAGCTTCAATTGTGTTGATGAGACTGATCCTGAAAAGACTTATTGCCATCATTGGCAGAATAGTGCTCGTCTTCATACTGTTTCGCTACGCTTCAACGTACTTTACCGGCCGGAAAAGCGCTGTCAAGATGGTAGCTCCGGTGATTGCGCTTTCGCACGGCGGAGGTGAGATCTACAACTCTTTCAACTTCTGGAACCCCTCATGCTGCAGTCATGATACCACTAGAATTGTGTGTAAAAGTTTCAACTGACATTGAAGCTTTCGAATAGGCCCCATGCCTGTCCTTGGCGATCCCTCCCACAAAGACATCGTCAACTCCCTCAAAACCCGCGTCCCCAAGATCCTCGGGCTCGGCACCCCCCAGCAGCCCCGTGCCATCGTCCTCATCACCGCGCACTGGTCGACGGACAAGCCCACCATTTCCTCCGCGGCGTCTCACAAACTGCTCTACGACTACTACAACTTCCCGCCCGAGGCCTACTCGCTCCAGTATCCCGCCCCGGGGCACCCCGAGGTCGCGCAGGCGGTCAAGGCCGCGATGGAAGAGCAGGGGCTGAAGCCCGTGCTCGACGCAGAGCGGGGCTGGGACCACGGCGTCTTCATCCCGATGCTGCTCGTGAATCCCGCGGCCAACGTGCCGATTGTGCAGGTCTCGGTGCTGGAGTCGGAGGATCCGGAGGAGCACCTGAAGATGGGCGCGGCGCTGTCGAAGCTCCGGCAGGACAACGTCGCCATTGTGGGCTCGGGGTTTGCCTCGCTGCACAATTTCCAGGCGTTCAATGAGCTGCGCTCCGGGTCGCCGCCGAGGGTCAAGTCGTTGGCGGACAGGATCGGCCGGTGGAACAGCGCCGTGACGGAGGCGGTCGGCGCGGAGAGCAGGGAGGAGCGGTGGCGGAACCTCAAGGGGTGGCGCAGCTTGCCGCATGCTGATGATGCGCATCCGCCGAGGAGGGGAGAGCATTTCCTGCCGCTGGTGGTGTGTGCTGGGGCGGCGCTGGAGGGGGAGAAGGCGGGTGTGTATGAGGATAGGTTTATGGGGGTTGGGATCAATACGTATTATTGGGGGGCTGAGACGGTTGCTTAGTTGGATATCTGATGGTTTAGTAGCAGGATTGTAGCGTTTGTTATTGTTTGAATGTAAGAATTGCATGAGGTAGATGCTGAAGAGGCTATCCTTGGTGATGATGTTTGGTGATGGTGTTCGGTATTGTGTGCGTGGTATGGGTGATGCTACGCACTGCGTATGAGCTTCACACACCGGCACCGAATAGATTATGTTGCTATCTTATCACACCGTATAATTCATATAGCCAGTTAGTGATAACATATAGTGAATCGCTCAAGTAAAGTTCAACTGCTCTTGTTCTAGGTCAAGTCGCATCACAGCTGCGGCGATGCGAATACGAACAGAATGCCAGATGTTAGTCAGCGGAATCCGAAGGCATCTCTTTGTCCCGTCTGATCTCTTCCTCCCAATTCCATTTAAGATCTCACCAAGTCTAGCTCCCGTCTGATCAGACAGTTCTTATTGTTCTCATCTCTCCCTTCAGCCCATGTGGTGACTAAGCGCAAGACCCATTGTGAAGTCGCCGTTGTCTCAAACGACAATAACAAGCTTGAATGGAACGCCGGAACGCCTCCAACACGCTTGGCCAACTCTCGGCCCATGCTCAAGCCTCATCTGGGGAAGCACCACCAGGAAAAGATTCGGCTAAACAGACTCACACCAATGAAAGCAGACAATCGCTTGCAGGGGGGCAATCCATGATGGTGTTTCTTGGCTGGCGTTGGATGGGCCGCGGACCCCGAATGGCGCGGGACCCGAGGGTGTGCAACGCATCACGCATGGACCGCATTTTCGGGTGCCGAACCGGAGACTGGAATTCTGCAGACGGGGTGTTGGATGATGTCTCGGGCGAAGGGTGAAGAAGTTTGTGTCTTGTTGTTGTTATAATGTCGAAGCATTGTCTGTGATCAAGTGTATTGGATTGATGTTTCTCCGCCGACGGTTTCGGCATCAGAGCTTCATGGTGATAGATTCGGCCGTGACGTTCTGCCAATCCGCCTGAGCTGGCATAGATAGGACAGTACCGGTCATCGACTGGCCTTTCCACCACGGATCGATCCTGCTTCGTCTCGTCGAAAAAGGCCTCAGTTGATTGCGGAACTCAACTGGAGACTGTGACGATGACAGTCTCGGAGACCGAAAAGGCCTTGTCTGGCAGCCCTAGCCCAGAGCCCGTCGAGCCTGTCGAGCGAGGGAACAGCATACAGATGCTGGTCGCCAAGGAGGACCAGGCCTCTCTGACCGAGAAGAAGTCTGGGAGTCCATATCTCGTAAGTTGCCTGGGTGGTACCGAAAGGAACGATGATGCTGCGATGCCCATCCTATCTCTCTCAAGCCACCAAGCTGATCTCGTCATCGTACGGCGAATGTAGAGAATCTTTACCTATGCAGGTCCCTACGAACGCTTCATCCTGGCCGTATCGATTATAGCCGCCATCGCTTCTGGCGCTGGCATTGCCATCCAGAACCTGGTCTTTGGCAGCTTTGTCACGACAATCACCGACTTCGTCACTGATCCCGCCTCGGGCGGTGCAAAGCTCCGCCATGATGCCGGCAAGTTGGCGTAAGCTCCCTCTTTCGACAGTCGGTATGTCACTGCATTAACAACAAGTTAAAGGCTCTACTTCGTCTACATTGGCATCGCGAGATTCGCCCTCTCCTACACGTACAACGTCCTCTTGACCTACAACGCCTATCGAATCGTTCGAAATATCCGACATGCCTATCTCAAGGCTGCCCTGAGCCAGGAAGTCGCCTATTATGACCTCGGCACTGGTGGATCGATTGCGACCCAGGCGACTACGAACGGAAAGCTGATTCAGGGCGGCATTGCAGAGAAGCTCGGCCTCAGTTTCCAGGGTCTCGCCGCCTTCATCACCGCCTTCATCGTCGCGTTTGTCACGCAGTGGAAGCTGACCCTCATCTGCCTCTGCATTGCACCGACGACAATCGCCGTCATGGCCTTTGTCGGCATCTCTGAAGCAGGTGTCGAAAGCAAAATCTTCGACATATACGCCAGGGGCAATGCCTTTGCGGAGGGCATCCTCGGCAGCGCACGGACTGTCCACGCCTTTGAGATGCGGTCGAGGCTCGTCAAGAAGTTTGACGAATACCTTACCGAAGCCCATAGGTACGGCCGCCAGCTCTCTCCCTGGTTCGCAGGGCTTCTCTCGGTCGAATACACAGTCATGTATCTGGGCTTTGGGCTTGCTTTCTGGCAGGGCGTCCACTTATACGTAAACGGAGACATCTCCTCGTCAGGAGACGTCTTCACAGTGATATTCTCTGTCACGATTGCGACTATTAGCATTACGGCGTTGGCACCGTATTCGATCGAGTTCGCCAGGGCTGCTTCGGGGGCTGCGCAGCTATTCGAGCTGATTGACCGGAAATCCGAGATCAATCCGTTTGATGAGTCTGGAGAGAAGCCCTCAGAAGTCACTGGCCACGTTGAGCTCGAGAATGTCACCTTTGCATATCCTTCTCGGCCTGGCGTTACTGTGTTGGACAATTTTTCGCTGACTGTCCCTGCTGGAAAAGTTACAGCCTTGGTGGTAAGTTTCGTCTCTATCTTCACTTTTCTTGGTATGGAGATCTGGGTCATTGATGTTAGCCATGCAGGGTCAAAGTGGTTCCGGGAAAAGCACGATTGTTGGTCTCATCGAGCGTTGGTACAACTGCCGGTCTGGGGTCATCAAGCTAGACGGCAAGCCAATCGACCAACTCAACCTCAACTGGCTTCGGAAAAATGTTCGCCTCGTCCAACAGGAGCCTGTGCTATTCCAAGGCTCGGCATTCGACAACATTGCGCATGGTTTGGTCGGCACGCAGTGGGAGCACGCCTCGAGGGAAGAAAGGATGGTCCGGGTCCAGCAAGCGGCCAAGCTTGCGTACGCTCACGACTTCATCACCGAACTGCCAAATGGATACGACACGCAGATTGGACAGAGGGGCGGCTTACTTTCTGGAGGGCAGAAGCAGCGTATTGCCATTGCCAGGAGTATAGTTTCTCAGCCCAAGGTCCTTTTGCTCGACGAAGCGACAAGCGCGCTTGATCCGCATGCCGAAGGGATTGTCCAACAGGCATTGGACAGAGCCGCTGAAGGCCGAACAACAATCGTCATTGCCCACAAGCTGGCCACAATTCGCAAGGCCGACAACATTGTTGTAATGAAAAGGGGCAAGATTGTCGAGCAAGGCACACATGCAGGCTTGATGAAGCAAGATGGAATATATGCCCAGCTAGTGCACATCCAGGACCTCTCCGTGTCCAAGAATGAGTCCGATACCGAGTCGGATGACCAAGAGGACGAGGCGGCAACAGAGAACACGCTCAATCATGTTGAGAGCTTGAGCCGATACGCCACCGGGGATCAAGCACGTCTTGAACAACAGAAAGAGCGAGACAACTATGAGCATTACCAAAAGAAGGGACTTTTATCCGTGATCTGGAGGCTTGTGGTTGAACATCCAGAGTTGAAATGGTCATACATTTTTACAGTCCTTGGCTGTATCGGAGCAGGTGAGTAGACGGTCCAACCGAAAGAGCATAGAGGATACATATATTCTAACTGCTGAATAGCTGGTGGATTCCCGGGCCAGGCGATCCTGCTGTCCAGTGTAGTCGACGTCTTCACGTTAAGTGATTCGGAAATGACGAAGAAGGGCGACTTTTACGCTGCCATGTTTATTGTCCTGGCGGTCGGTTGCTTGATTATCTACGGGTGGTTAGGATATACCACGAATGCCATTGCTCAGGTTTGCAGTTCTCCCTTTTTCCTCCCAGTCCATTCTTTCTCTTTGTTTCAAATCTGATTGCTGCAAATAGACCCTCTCCCACAAACTGCGACGCCAAAGCTTGAACGACATGCTCCGGCAGGACCTCCAATTCTTCGACCGCCCCGAAAACAACATCGGCGCGCTCGCCAGCCGCGTCGACGCCAACCCGCAGGCCATTCTGGAGCTCATGGGCTTCAACATCGGCCTGATCCTCGTCGCCGTCTTCAACATCCTCGCCTGCAGTATCCTGGCCGTGGCATACAGCTGGAAAGTCGGCCTCGTGGTCGTCTTTGCCGGGCTGCCCCCCATGGTCGGATCCGGATGGTTCAAGATCCGGCTGGACATGAAGCTGGACCACGCCATCTCGGCGCGACAGTCGAAGAGCGCGGCGATTGCTTCGGAGGCTGTGACTGCGATACGGACCGTTTCGTCGTTGGCCATCGAGGAGTCGGTACTGAAGAGTTATACGCACGAGTTGGATGAGTCCATCAGGGGGTCGGTGAAGCCGATGTCGATCATGATGATTTGCTTTGCTTTTACGCAGTGTGTTGAGTACTTTTTTCTGGCCTTGGGATTCTGGTAAGTCCTCCGCCTTCTGCAACTCTCGAAGATGGGTAGTACTAACGATGGGAATGTGTAGGTATGGATGTCGTCTTGTCTCGTTTGGAGAGACGAGCATGCACAACTTTTACGTTGCCTTTTTGGGCGTCTTTTTCTCGGGCCAAGCTGCATCCCAGCTCTTCCAATTCTCAACAAGTAAGCAGCAATCTGCATACGCAGCAACGAGATAGGGTCAACTGACATGGGGAATAGGTATTACCAAAGGCAAGAATGCAGCAAACTACATCTTTTGGCTCCATGGACTCCAGCCCACCGTCCAAGAAACGCCCGAGAACGCAGACCGAGGTCCGAAATCAGGCGGCCCCCTTGCGCTCGACAACGTCCGCTTTTCCTATCCTCTCCGGCCAGAGGCGCCTGTCTTAAGGGGTATCAACCTCGAGGTATGTCAATCTCACTTTAACAGCAAAAAGCTAAATCAAACCCTCAACTAAAACAAAATTGCTAGATCAAAAAAGGCCAATTCTTCGCCCTCGTCGGCGCCTCCGGCTGCGGCAAATCCACCATGATCGCCATGCTTGAGCGCTTCTACGACCCCTCGACCGGCACCATCCGCATCGCCGGCGACGACCTGACCTGTCTCAACCCCCGCCTCTACCGCCGCGTCGTCTCCCTCGTCCAGCAGGAACCCGTCCTCTTCCAGGGCTCCATCCGCGAAAACATTGCCCTCGGCATCGACGACGACGACACGGCATCTCCGTCCTCCGAAGGGACAACAACAGCAGTCACAGTCTCAGACTCGCGAATCGAACAAGCCCTCCGCGCCGCCAACGCATGGGACTTTGTATCCTCCCTCCCCGAAGGCCTCTCCACGCCCGCCGGCCCCAACGGGACGCAGCTCTCCGGCGGCCA